CTGGGTTAAAACAGGACATTTGTTGTTGTTCCTGATGTAGCAGACATCAACAAGGCCGGAAAAGTAGATCAGGACAGTTCAAACAGCCACACCGCACACAGGGATATGGAGCTCTGTGTCGTTTATTTCTGAACACATGAGACATGGGGAAGGATTAGTGCACATACGAAGACGCGCTCTCTCGCTCTCTCTCTCTCTCTCTCTTGCCCGTTCAGCATTGACAATGCTTTTTTCCAAAGATGCATATGCATACATATACATAAAGACAATAAAACTGGAAAACTGTGAAAAACTTAAATGTTAACAGTATTATTAGATCGACATGACAATGTGAATAATTATCAGTGTAAATAAAAAGATCACATTACATGTACACTCATGCACTGTAACTATATTTAACTGAGCAGAGGCTTAAACATAAAACGCAAAATCTAGGCTGCCTGAAACGCTGAAAGGCTACAACAGAAAGAGGCTTCGAAATGGAAAAACTATAATCACACAGTGAGCAAACCATTATAATTTGCCAAACTCCAAATGAATTAGTTTAAACAGTACAAATTCAACAGTAAAACATACCTGAACACATGAGACATAGGGCAGGATTAGTGCACATACGCAGACGCGCTCTCTCTCTTTCTCTCTCTCTTGCCTGCACGAGGCATAAAAACAACGAGGTGCATGCAGTACATTAAAAGCACTGTTTACACTTAAAAGTTTGGAAAGAAAATTACATATGCACGTAAAACAGTGCTGCGACTTCACCATGTAGTGTTTATATCCTTAGCAATGACTGAAAGACCTCTTTTTATTCTTAGAAAGAGAACTATATGGGAGAGAGTGAAACCGCCTGCTTACCCGTTCAGCATTCACAATGCCTTTACCGATATACTGGGAAAGCACACAGTACACAGGCATTGTGTTGCACCAATTAATGCCCCATCTACAACCAGCAAGGGGGGAACCCCATAAAAACCATACACATTGAAATTAGTTTGAAACTCAGACATTTCACAGCAATATTCATTTATCATTCCCCAAAGAGACTTAGTAAAGCTTAGTGAAGTTCACAATAGCGATGCAAAATAATATTTAAATAAAATAAAAAATATATATATTTTTAAAAATAATCAAAATCAGTATTATTATGGCTACACTGACATTGTTATTAGTGTAGTTGTGTTGTTTTATGTAAATTGGGTCCATTGGGGGTGGGCTTTGTTTGTGTTTAGCTACCCTTTTTATGTTATGTATCTTCCTGCATAACCCCCTTAGCTGTAAATTTGTATAATTCGCCATTGCTACTAGCAAATCTTTGGGAAAGTGAAAGTCTTTTTTACTGTTTTGCTGAAGAGTTTGAAAGTTGGATTAAAACGTTCAGTGTTGGGTGGTCCTCAGAAATGAAAATGATCTGTCCACAACAGTGGAAGCTAGGGGTGGGAATCTCTAGGCATCTCACGATTCAATTAAATTACGATTCAGAGGGCTACTTCGCGATTATAAAACGATTATTGATGCATCTTGATGCATCTTTTTTTTCTATACTATATATTTTTTTCTCACTGTGTGAGGACTTGGTACTTTTAAAGCAAAGGATTTGTAATTATCTATAATGAATTTACTTTTACTTTTACAATATCTGTTATAACTAAAACAAATGTAAGTGATATGGCAAGTGAATTTGAAGGCTCTCATTGACTGCTCTTGTTTGGAGCACATGAGACACTTTGGTGACATAAGATCCAGTGGCAATAGATGTCCAGCACATGTTGCAGCTGTTCTACCCATTTTCTTTAATATTTTTTTGATTTTGTAACTTTGGTTTTGGTCTCGTTGTAGAGAGTGGGGATCGCTATGTCAGTAAAATATCTTCGAGAAGGGACGCTGTATCTTGGCTCCAAAGTGTGCAACATAGTGCAAAAGCCCTGGTTCTCAGTGACTAAGAACTGGCGTGCAGACTGCAGGTCACATAGCAACGCAGTCTCGCCTAGGTAGTAGCTAATGAAAAAGCGAGAGAGATTTAAGACGAACATTTGGAGACAGATGGACTTATTGGCATTTATAAGCAGCGCAGTTGGTTTCCTGGAACGTTAAACCTGCAATGAGAGACTGTCAAACACTAAAAAGTTGCAAAGATGAAGTCAGCTTCCCTTTCGAATTTTCCCGTTCCACCTTAAATGGTGCTGCATTTACATTCTGGCACCTCAGGCAGAATTTAAAGTGGAACAGGAAAATTCAAACAAGAAGCTGGCAAATAAGAAGCTGACTTCAGCTTTGTAAAACAGTTGAACGTTGAGAGACATTTTACAAGAAACTGTTCTACTTTTGAGGAAAAGTTTTCTGGTGGAGATGGAGGAGTGGTTCTGGTGGAGGAAAGCAGCTATAGCTAAAGCTTAAAGCAAAGCAAAGTAAGTCTGTGTTTTCGTTTATATTTTTTAGCCTACACTAGGACATTAGCACATACTGGACATAAAATGTTGTGGCTCCCAAGGTGGTTTGATTTTTGTTGAAAGGATAAAATGGCTGTTAACCTAACCTAGCTTTTAATGCAGAGTGTGCTGGTTGTATTTCTTGCTCATCCAGTTGTGTTTTTGTTATCTGCACGTCACAGAGCGTCCGGGTGCTGCACTTCCGCGCTTCCAGGTTCCGCCTTTTGCATTCCATCAGCAATTGTCATCAATTAAAATTTAGAAAATCTATTTTTGACATTTGTGAATCGATTCAGAATCGTCCATGTCCGCATCGTGATGCATCTAAGAATCAATTTTTCCTCCCACCCCTAGTGGAGGCTATAGCACAGTTTTTAACACAGGCTAACACATTCTATAACACAGTGTCACACATCAGACTGAACAAATCAGTTCAGCAGTCTGTTTTACTTCTGCCATTTGTACTATCCTGTTGTTCATTTTTGAAAACTGTTCTACAAAATCAGAAGAGGTCATAAACAAAGATGAGTTTTAAAGTGATATTCATAGGGAAGTATTCAAATGAATAACATTAGTGCTTTTCTGCAAAGCCGTTGTTGGCATTCACAGCTTTGAGACATCTATGTGAGATGCAATAAGCTTTTTGCAGCATTGTGGTCCAATTTTGGTCTGTTCCTCTCAGCAAAAAATCTAAAGTTCCCCAGGATTACACAAATCCTTCTGATGGGCTCACAATTTCCAAATCCTCCATAAATAGTAGCCTTGCTGCTTAACATTTAACATAGTGCTGTGAGTTAGAATAATCACACTCTCTGCACACAAATCTTACACTCTGAATCAGCTGGACATTTCCCTCCCCCGCTTGCTCCAGTTAAGCAAGTACTTGGCACTGCTGGATCAAAGGCATTCAGTTTGGGTTGGAATTGAATTCTTCAAGAATCTAAATCTCCACACTCAGGGTTAGTCAACACCGCTTTAAATACTCGCACCCCTTGCATTCTTTAAGCAGGTTTTGCCATGACTGCCATGGTATCTCACCAAAAAACTTGGCAGGTGTGCTCCCACTCAGTAGAAACTAGGGCTCGACCGATGTATCATTTAGTTTATGTTTTTATGATCAGATGTTTAAAGAGAGTTACTCATTTTTCAGGTTTGTAGTGGTTTCATGTTCATAAACCAACAAAAAATGTTAAATACCATATCCTGCAGCAGTACACTATTTGTATTATTTTCTGGTATTTAAAAAAAAAAATTCACAGTTGACAGCTTGTATATCATATCAGATAGTGTGTGTGTGTGTGTGTGTGTGTGTGTGTGTGTGTGTGTGTGCGCATAAATATCTATACATGTGTAAATATATATATACACGTGTGTTTTGTATAGAAATGTGACAACAGTGCCACAAGTCTTGAGCTGCTTAATTTGTAATTATTTTTATGTCTGTGTGTTTGTTTCTCACTGAAAGTCTGCAGTAAATCTGCACATTCATTATTACTCACAGTGTTCATTTAGAGCTGTTAAACTGAACCATAAAGGCTGAAATGTTCTTCAGGAAATAATTCAAAGGGAATTAATGTTACAGTTTGCTGTTACTTATTCTCTGTAAATGTTTGTGTTGTGTTTTTGTAAGGAAACAGTATGTGAGAAAATGACATATGATTATTGTCTTAAACTGATCATTGTTGTTCACCTTTTTAAAAGTGTGTTCATGGAGGTTGCTATGCACATATCCAGAGAGTTATCAAGCAGATAGTCAATATGATGTGCTTACAGCCCAAATACTGATTTATTATGATGTATCTTTTGTTTTTCTGTCATAGTAAAGTTATATTCACCCATATGTTAACATGTGAAAGCACTGTTTGATACACCTAAATAAAACCTGTAATTTCATCTCTGTTCACTGAATTTAGTCTATTTCTAAATTTCCTTTTTTCAGGGGAAGCAAATAATTTTCACATTGCAGTTCAGCATCTTGCAACACAGAAATGGATAATTAATTGTTGATTTCCAAACTTTTCAGCTTGCAGCTAACTTATTCGAGCCAATTGCAAAAATGACCTAGATTATATAAGGGAAAGCTAAGCATGGTCTTACTGGTTAAAATTATTTTTTGCCCTACCCACTGGTGCATGATGAAGTAAACAAAAATCAGATGTTTTGGAGGTGGAGTGAAATATATTACATTTTGATGGACAATTGCAGAAAAACAAGAATTTTGCCTTTTAAATGGTATTAAACAATTAGTGACCAGCAACATTAACAAATTTGTTCTTAATCTTCCAGATATCGCCTTTAGTTCAGCTGAAGTAAACTATTAAAACTATTGTTGACAGATTATTACTCCTTTATGTCAAATACTTAACATGTTTCAAGCAGTACAAAGAGTTCCACTGCTTTGTAAGAATGACCAGATCCTTAGGAGAGGTTTTGTCCTCTTCTTTTTCATAAAAATTAACAAAACACAATTAGTACAGATATCACTCATTATATCAATACTGACACACTATCTTTAAAATAATAGAATAGAATGAAGACCTTTCCTGTTAACTGAAAAAAACACCAGTAAAAGAATTCAGAAAAAGATATTTAATCTTTAAGATTATTACAGAAAATTTTAGAATTCTAGAATTGTTTCCATTCAATTTACAGTGACATTAATTTGCAGTGTTTACATAACAACTCTATTGTTAAAAAGATCGCCATATAAGAAGATTACATTAAAGGCAATCACATTACATTAATAAAAAATAATTAGTCATGTTAATGACAGCACATCTTATCAACAAAACAAAAATGAAATGGTACAGAAGTAGAAGAAATAAAAAAAATTACCTATCCATTATAATAATTACTGTAAAGGTTTCTTAGCCATGTTCGAGCAGTGTGAATTTGGATTTGATGAAATGCTGAGAGTAGGGGTGGGAACATGATATTTTATCGTTATTTTGATAAATTATGTCACAATACACTCAAGGAACTGTCTATTGTTTAATTACAAAGTGGGCATAATCAGCTCTGTTTAATTAGATTTTGTGCAGTGCAGTTTGTAAAACACTGAATATGAAACTTTTTTTTAAATCTTGTTTCAATGTGGCACTACAAGTTGTTTTTTCTTCATTCACACTTAACAAACCGCAGAAAAAAGAATTATCATGATGCTTATTGTGTATCATGAAAATATCTGGACATCTACCCCTAGCTGAGAGTGGGTTTAATTGTGAATATGTAGAATATCTGTGGCTCAGTAGAACAGTTTTGTCACTGAATGTTACTGCCTGAAAGAAAACATCTATTGCAGAAGATTGGAAGGTAGAACCTAGATCACTGAACCATTAGGAACAGAAATGCTGCTGTAATTACTGTAATTGCTAATGATCGTCCGAATAAGCATAGAGACAGATGCAATAACCTTTGGTGAACATCAGTTATAAAAATAATTTCATGTGTGTCATGTCATTGTCAAATGGTTTGAATGATCTGTTCCTAAAGTGCGCTGAGATTACTAAATATGCACTCAGGGCAGTTTAGCAGCTGTGCCAAAGTCATTTATTAATAAACAACTAAATGATGTGGTACTAGTTTGAATAAATATACACCATTTTATATTAAAAAGTTCTAAAATGACAAATGATTATATACTGTGCACGTTTGGGGTACTACACAATGGTGTCTTCACTTTGTGTCCCTGTTTTCCAAATATCTTATATTCATCAAATAAACAGTAATTGTGTAAAAATTGTACAGAAGTATGTTCTCTGAAGAGGATATGTTAACTTACACTTAGAAAATCAACAACAATACTGAATTTGACCAGGGGCTCCCAAACTTTTGTACACAACGGTATGCAATGTTTTATAGTCCATGTTTATAAATATCATCATAATGTCATCACATTAAATGACACATTATCACATTATCAAGTCTATTTAACAATGCAATTTTTGATTCAGCACCACGCTAATTGGTGGGGTATACATTTTACATTACATTAGCTACATTAGCCTTGTAGCTAAAACTAAAGAAGCACATTTTTAATTTCAACACTGTTGGGATAAAGGGAGAATTTAGATTTTCCACTAAACCCACTAAACTATAAACACTTTAAGGGTTGTAGACTCGTTTTGGCCAGCCAGTGGGTTTCAAACACATTGAGTGTGAAAAGAGATGCATATTTGACCAGAACATAGCTGTGAAAATTCTGATAATACTCATCCTGAGGGAAGAGGGGCTGTCAGATCCCATTGGACTGGTTCAATAATCTGACTGTCTGCTGTGTGTATATTTTGCAGCAGTACTATGTAGATCTAGTTGTGGTATCCTGAAAAACAAAACAGGGGCACAGTGTCATTTTCTACCAGCAAATCAGATACTGTTCACTCTCTGTTTTGCTGGTAGTCCCAGTGAACACAGTGCAAAAAATACACAAGAAATACAATAACACAAGTTGGGAGAAATGAGTGAAACAGGCTCTACATACCCAGGTCCTGATTTAGAGTACCTCCTCTGAAAAACATTATCCAGAATTTACACTTAATTTAGCCACTCCTTTAACACTACATCCTTGTTTCCACACTCATTGTCCATTTTATCAGCTCAACTTACCATATAAGTGCACAAGAGATGAGCTATCGTTTCTGACTTTACATCCAGAAGGACCAACAAGGTAAGAGTGTCTAATAGAGGGGACAGTGAGTGGACACACAGTTTTAAAAACTCCAGCAGCACTACTGTGTCTGATCCACTCATACCAGCACAACACACTCTAACGCACCACCACGACGTGTCACTGCAGTGCTGAGAATGATCCACCACCTAAATAATACCTGCTCTGTGGTGGTCCTGTGGGAGTGCTGACAATTGAAGAACAGGGTGAAAAAGGGGTAACAAAGTATGTAGATATACAGATAGAAATCAGTCTGTAATTGCAGAACTACAAAATGGACAATGAATGTAGAATCGAGGATTTGTTTTTAATGTTATAGCTGATCGGTGTATGTGGCGATGCCTGAAAGTAGGTAAGGTACATATTCACTTTACTGCTTAATATGCAGAATGCTGGCAGGGCTGGTTGGACAATGAATGAACAAACGGGGTAGCTTGCTAGCTTTTGCTAGCTTTTGCTTGCTGAGTTGCTCAAACTGAAAAAGAGTGAGTCTGTGTGGAATGCACAGTTTGTTAAAGCCACATCAGCCTTGTGTTTGGTGATGGTAAAGCATATGCCCAGTTTACACCAAAAGGAACATTATTCATAGGACATGCTTTGTACATTGTGCATTTGTATAGTGTGCACCCACAAAAAAAAGATTAACCTAAACAGAAAGAAAACACAGATTCAGGTTCCCTGGGGCTTTAAGGCTGGCCTGGATATCTCTCGTCTTACTGGGTTTGTATTATTGAAAATCAAACTTTTGTTGATTTCACACTTTTGCAGAGCATCGTATATCTGAAGAACCTATATACTGAACTACACTCTTAAAAAAATATGGTTCTTCAAGGGTTCTTTAGTAAAGGGAATGGTTCTATTTAGAATCATAAGTTCTATATAGAACCATTTCATGCTTAAATGGTTGTTCGCATGGTGCAACTCCATCAATCTGAAGAACTATTTCACCATGCAGAGAACCATTTTAACATGAAATGCTTCTATTCAGAACTCATGGTTCTAAAATAGAACCACTGACTTTACTAAAGAACCCTTGAAGAACCATCTTTGTGTGTGTGTGTGTGTTTTATCAGCAAACCAATATATCAGTTGGCCCAGCTGACCACACCCAACTGTAAGCATGTGTGCCTACCATTTTCAGTGGGAACAGGCTCCATCGTCTCCCAGTTCATGGCCTTCTGTACAGCTTTCTTCCATCTTGTGTAACGGAATTCACTCTCTGTCAAACAAACCAGTTATATGTCGAATTGTTCAGAAGGGTCTGGCTGCAGACATGCACTCTCAGCCTGACATGCACTGCCAGCCTATTGATGACGTCAGTGCACGCTCTGCCAAGACAGTGTTTTTGTCAGTTTTATGAGGAAAAACAGCGAACCACATACTGTTGGGCTACAAGAGTTATACTGTACGTATATTAATGTTATCATACTGATGATAAGGTAATTAAATATGGAAACTTTCACAGTAAAACCACGACAATAAGACATGAATGTCGGGTTTATTCGCAGAAAAAACAAAAAGGCTACTGCTGAAACTCATGAAAGCCATGCTGAAGACGATCAGAACTGGTTATCAAAAACTGTAATATTGATTAAAATAGAATTTATTAAGGATTCTAGGAGGTTGTGACAATGTACAGTCAACGTAGTACCGATTACTTTTGCTGTCCCGTCAATGTTGTCACAACCTCCTAGAAAGTTGTCAGACAACGTTGTCATAACTTTCTGAGGAATTACATTTACCGTTGTGACAATGTAGAGAGCACCAAGCAGACAACGTTGTGGGCACCAAAACAGTACGTAGTCACAATGTAACTGTGTTTGCACTGATGGTTTTGCTTCCTAGCGGGAATTGGCTTGATGGTCGACGTTAGAGGCCATTAGGAAACGTTCAAATGTATGTGGAATTAGTCCCAAAACACCATCAGGAAAACACAGAATACCATTAGCAACTACTGAAAACCACCAGGAACCAACAGACACTTTTAATGTGTTCTATGATTTTTTTTTCAACAGGGAGGTACATTAAATGTAACTCTCTAGCCGTGTTATGGACGATAAATGGATTAAGTGATGATATCTTCTGCCGTCGTGGCAGAGAGTGCATGTGCACGTAATGTCACTGGGGCTGAGAGTGCATCTGGCTGAGAGTGCATGTCTGCACCCAGACTCTATAGGGAATTGTTAGTACTACACAGCAACAAGCAAGGAGCATACTCAGTGTAGTTCCTAGAGAATTTTCCAGTCCTGCACTCGACCATACATTCACAACTTGTCAGATTTTACCAGTTACTGCAGTTCTGCTGCACTAAACATCTGTGGATTCAGAACCACTTAAAAGTGATAACACAAACACTTAAAGTCTTAAATAAGCCTTAACAAGATTCAGTTATTTCAGAATGCTGCAGTTCAGCAAAATGTCAAATTTAGACAGGTTTCCCCTTAGCGCACATACAGTCAATCAGCCTTGACATCATTGGCAGCACTAAACATCTGCAGATTCAGAACCAAAAAGTGCTGCACTCTTATCAAGAGAAACCCTCCAATCAAATCACACAAACAACTGTCTACCCTACATTAGTGAATGGGTTTGTGAGTCAGGTAGAGGACATGATGTGAATGTTTACTGTAGCCCTCAGGAAGTCACACAAGGTGAAACAAAGTGAGACTGTAGCTGGGAAAAGAAGATGTCAAGTCAGTACACAATTAGCCACAGCTGTCAGATACTGGCTTTACAGGATTAACTTGTGAACCTCTGGACATCCTTAAAATGCTCAGAAAATAAGAGGCTCACCATTAAACACTTCACATACTATGGCATCAAGAAGACTCTCTCCCGATTGTAATTCACTGCTGTCAGAGAACTCTGTTTGGGTTTTTTTTTTCCCCACGCTTCTGGGCCTTTGTGTTAAGCTTAAAACAACCAATTGGATATTTCTTATGACAGTAACAAATTAAACACATAGCTCAGTCAAAAAAGCTAGTAAAGAATATGATGTTACTCACCAGCATTAAGCACACTGAATCATTGTTAGCCAGGGACTTAGCTAGAACTTTTAGAATGGTGTGGCCAGGTAAGACCCAGACATTTTATTATGGTAGCTCAATGCTAGAAAAAATAGCATTACTGTATTAAAATGACATAAAAAGGATGATTTGGTTTTTTCCGTACATAAATCTGTCCATCTTTTCCACATTAATAAAATATTACATCAACACAACTGCTGATGCCAAAAACTGAAAGACAAAGGACCAACCACACATTTACTTTCCTTGTTACGTCAGCAAATCAATGACATAGCCCTTAACATTCCAGGTTTATTTCATACAAAGCTTACTATCCAGTAACAGGGACCTTAATGCAAAACTAATGGAGCTATTCTTAGGTTATAGAAGTGTGTAATAAAACTTTGGGCCCGCCGGCAGCCCCATGGCTTGTTAAGGGGGTAAACTAATTACTGCAGCATTATGAGACTCTCGTAACTGATTGGTAACTACCCAGATTTTCACCATAGAGCGTCATTAATGATGGCTGGCTGTCTGACTTTCCATGACTCAAGTGGCCAGAGGGGCGACCATGGTTCATTCCAGGGTGGTATCATCTCATTATTGATCATCTATCTAGCAATATCTTCTGTAAACTTTGAGAGCAATATATTTCTCCAAATTCACCATGAAAACTGTTTTTGTAGCATAAAAGTTATTGTTTTTCATCATAAGCACTTTTCAGTAACAGGTTTATACATATAATTATTATTTTAATCTCCCTCTTAGTGGTTGTAAACCTCACATAAACAGCAGTAATGTATTACTGGCAGGTAGCAAAAAGTTAACAAAAACACTGGACAAGCTTTTGGGACAGGAATTTCCACACTGTTAAAAGTTAGCATTAGTATTAAAACAAAATGTGTTATTTTAATATTGAATTCGTTGATAGTATATCCCCAGAGGCACTTGTCCCTGCTCAGGAAGATGCAGGTGCTCTGCTTCCTCAGAAGAGAAAGGTACACATATAAATTACCACCCCATTTCCAAAAAAAGTTAGGACTTAATGTAAATAAAAACAGAATTCAATGCCATGCAAATCAAAAGTCTATATTTAATTAAAATAGTACAAAACAATATATCAAATGCTGAAACAGAGAAATGTTTTTTGAAAAATATATACCTCTTCTTTTAACAACACTGTAAGCGTTTGGGAACTGTGGAGGCCAACTGCTGTAGTTTTGAAAGTGAAATGTTTCCCGTTCTTGCTTTATATGAGATTTCAGTTACTCAACAGTTCAGGTCTTTTTTGCCATTTTTTGTTTCATAATGTGACAAATGTCAGTGGGTGACAGGTCTGGCCAGTTTAGCACCCAGTCTCTTTGACTACAGAGTCATGCTGTTGTAATGTGCAGAATGTGGTTTGGCATTATCTTGCTGAAATAAGCAAGGCCTTCCTTGAAAAATACTTTGGATGGCAGCATATGCTGCTCCAAAACCTGTATACTGTATATCGTTCAGGATTAGTGGTGCCTTCACAGATGTGTAAGTCACCCATGCCATGTGCACTAATGCTTCCCCCTTATCATCACGGATGCTGACTTTTGAAGTGTATACTGATAACAAGCCGGATGGCCCCTCTCCTCTTTAGCCCGGAGGATACAGCATCCATGATTTCCAAAAAGAATTAAAATTTTTGATTCATCTGACCACAGGACACTTTTCCACTTCGCCTCAGTTCATCATAAATTAGCTTAGGCTCAGAGAAGGTGGAAGTGTGTCTGGATCCTGTTTATATATCGTTTCTTCTTTGCATGGTAGAGTTTTATCCTGCACCTGTGCATGCAGCGACAAACTGTGTTCACAGACAATGTTTTTCAGAAGTGTTCAATTATTCTAAATGGGATCTCCTCTTGATCTCAGGTACTTCTCTTAGATGTGGTTAAGTCCAGTTTGAAATCAGAGTGAGACTTAAGCCATTTTCTCCTTTTTCTGAAATTTGGCTCCTGAGAAATAAAACTCAGATTTTCTCACTTTAATCAAAATGTTGTCACAAATGTAGCTTAACTCTTTAGTGTCTGACTCATCTCACCCCAGTCTCAGCTAATTAGTACTTCCATAGGAAAAGTGTAAGATCTCATCGTCTTCTGTCAGTGCAAAGGGAGAACTTGTTTTTTTCATTCATCACCAGCACGTCTTATAGTGAAATGCTGATGTTAATCTCCTCTTTTCTCCTACGGGGGGTTTAGGAGAAACAATTCAGAAATCAGTGATCCTTCATCAATATAATATTGAGGTCTGCTTTATTTCTCTGAGACAATCTTAAGAAAGATTTTTTTTCCTCTGGGGGGATTGTGTGTTTATGTAGATGTAACCACAATTCCAAGTTATTTGGAAAGAAAACACTGATCTGAGCTCTCACCATCTGGGTTAATCTGAGGCTGATACTTCTCAGAGGTCACCGAGGTCATCCCATCAGGGTTTATTGTCCATACACAGACCCCTTCAGCTGCCCCTGCAGCCATGGCTGCACCAAGAGCGGTGGTCTCAGACATAGAGGGTCTCACTGCACAAGAGAAAAACACACTGAACAACAAAAACAATACAAAAATAAGTAGTATTTTCCATGATATAACCTGTATGCAATGTGTCTTTGGGCCAGTATGGCAAAAATGCTTTGTTAGGACCAAAAAGATTTTAATAAGATTATAATTACTAGTATAATAAGATTATAAGTTTACTTGGCTTTAGAGCAGTTAAAGTGAAAACAGTAAACATTAGTTTAAAGATTAGAGGTGATTAGGCCTGAGCATCAAAATTTCATACTTGGTACCGACTGAAAACTTCAATCACTCAATTCCAAATTTCAACACTTCAAGCAGACTGTTATACCAGCGTCAGTAAGCAAATAAGCATACTAGTTCCAAAACCTAGACTGTTGAACGTTTGCATGTTTTCATGGAAATACTTGACACTGCCTGCCAGACTCTGCCTGCCAGGTTCTGGGTTAGTCAGCATGGAATAACTTACAATTTAAATCAAATAAAATACTGCAGTGTTGTGACCCTGCAGGAGCGCAGTACTGATCTACAGTAAAAGCTTACACATACACAGACTCATACATACCCACAGGAATGCAGAGGATATCAGCCTGCAGCTGCATTAGTAATTTGTTGGCAGTCATCCCTCCGTCTACCTGTAACTGAGAGAGTGGAACACCGCCGTCCTGATTCATCGCATCCAGAACCTGAAACATACAAGAAAGAGTTAATATGTATAAATATATACATACACCGATCAGGCATAACATTATGATCACCTCCTTGTTTCTATGCTCATTGTCCATTTTATCAGCTCCACTTACTATATAGGTGCACTTTGTAGTCCATCTGTTTCTCTGTATACTTTGTTAGCCCCCTTTTATCCTGTTCTTCAGTGGTCAGGACCCCCATGGACCCTCACAGAGTGGGTACTGTTTGGGTGGTGGATCATTCTCAGCACTGTAGTAACACTGACGTGGTGGCGGTGTAAAAGTGTGTGTTGCGCTGGTCTGAGTGGATCAGACACAGCAGTGCTGCTGGAGTTTTAAAAACTTCAATGTCACTGCTGGACTGAGAATAGTCCACCAACCAAAAATATCCAGCCAACAGCGTCCTGTGGGCAGCGTCCTGTGACCACTGATGAAGGACTAGAGGATGATTGTTCCTGAGAGTTTTCCTGAGCCCATGCAGTGATTTCAACAACAGAATCATGTCTGTTTTTAATGCAGTGCAGCCTGAGGGCCCGAAGATCACAGCCAGCCCATTTTGGCTTTGTCCCTTGCATACAGAGATTTTTTAGGATTCTCTTAATCTTGTAATATGTTATGTCTTGTAGATGATGAAATACCCAAGTTTTTTGCTAGTTTACACTGAGAAATGTTATTCCTAAATTGCTCCACTGCCCACACAGTCTTTCACTGAGTGGTGAACCCCTCCCCATCTTTGATTCTGAAACACTGGGATGCTCTTTTTATACCCAGTCATGTTACAGACCTGTTGCAAATTAAGCTAATTAGTTGTGAGATGTTCCACCAGGTGTTTTTTAGCGTAACACAAATTTACCAGTCTCTCTATGCCAACATTTTTGAATCGTGTTGCTAGCATCAAATTCAAAATGGGCATATATTTTCAAAAACAACTTCTCATTTTCAATATCTGACATGTTGTCTTTGGACTTTTTGGATTCTGTTTTTATTTACATTTTGCACAGCATCTCAACTTTTTTGAAAAGGGCCCAGAGGAAAAAAATATTCTAAATGGGATCTCCTCTTGATCTCAGGTACTTCTCCTAGATGTGGTTAAGTCCAGTTTGAAATCAGAGTGAGACTTAAGCCATTTTCTCCTTTTTCTGAAATTTGGCTCCTGAGAAATAAACTCAGATTTTCTCAATTTAATCAAAATGTTGTCACACATGTGGCTTAACTTAAAAATGCATGAGTATCAATATTCATTCTTAACCATATCACCCTGCCCTAACTGACATAGTCAAACAATTGTCCTTATAATCATATACTGAAAAGAGTCCTAACTCTCACAGGAGTTATTAATCCCCTGATTTAACAACATACGTTATGTAATGCTGAATTATGCCTAGTCCTCTGTCTTAGAACAATTTTTGTTATTTCTTTACCTTATCCATATTATGTCCACTGTGATTCTGGAAATAAAGTTAAAGGATCTACACAAACTAATTTATTAAGTTATTATTAATGCATAGTATTGTCATAGTATGTGAGCTAAAGTTAATTACCTCTCGTGTCTGAAAGCATACAGCCTCAAGTGCAGCAAAAGCCAAGTGACTCCTGTTTGTGAACTGTGTCAAGCCACAGATAATCCTGAGACAGAAAAATAAAACAATGTCAGTAGCAATATATGTTTACATATTGTACCATCATTTCATTTCATCATTTACCTTCCATCATTTATTTCATTTCCAGTCAAAACGGCCATTAAGTACGAGTTATTAATTTTTCTTTGTCAGGAAAAACATATATTTAACATTAACTTAACAGATAGAACAACTAAACATAGTGTGTCCACTCTTTACCTTTATTACAGCTTCCATTCTTCCACACCTCCAGGTGTTTGCTAGGAGCCCCATTTTCTCTGTAGCTTTTAATCACTTTGTAAACAGATGTGGAAATTCCTGTTTTTTCACTTTGACCTTCTCCTTCATAATGTAAGTGGAGTAACTAAGATCTAATCTCCTCACAAACATATACTTAATGGTGGTTTTGACTGGACATTAAAGGAATGAAGGGCAGTCTCTGAGTTTTGTACAATACTCCATACTTTTTCACTGAATTTTATTTAGATTACATATGATAAGTAAGGGTTTGTTAGTGGTCCCTGTTCATATTTCTCTTCTGTTATTGTTTTGCTATTCGGTGTTGACCAGAGGAGGATGGGTCCTCATTTTGAGTCTTGGTTCCTTTCAAGGTTTCTTCCTCTTGCTCTTAGGGAGTTTGTCCTTGCCACTGTTGCCTTCGGCTTGCTCATGGGGGCTTGGACCGGGATTTTTCTGTAAAGCTACACGCCATATAAATTAATTTTGACTTTACACGAGTGGTCATTTATGACCACAGAGTCACTCTTGGCTGGATATTCCTTGCTGGTGGACTACTGACAACCCAGCAGTAACATATCCCTCAGCAACAGCAGGGCTGTGGTCAGAAACTGACAGAGGGCGGTAGATAAATTATACAGGATCAAAAGAGCTCCTGAACTCCTATATAGTGGAAGAGGCCAGTAAGTAAGTAAGTGGTTTCTAATAAAGTGGATGGTCCATGAAAATACCTGCATTACATACAACTGCTTAACAATAATAAACATACAGAAATTACAATAGCATATTATATATATATATATATATATATATATATATATATAATTTGTCTCTGTTAAACACTTTATTGTACACAGTACAAAGAACAAAGAGTAATTTAGTTTTTGGATGCTAAATGAATGTTGATTTGCCTACTTCATAATTCTGTTTTAGAAGTTATAAAATAAAAGCATGGAATGTCTTTTACAAGCTTCCAATGTCCATGTTTAATCTGCAATGGCCAAAAAAGGTTCATGTGAATGGCATTAGCTTTGTGCTAGCATAGTATTATAACTTTTATTGGGCACTAGCAGAAATAAGCATTTACAAACAGAACTGGAGGTCTAGCACTATCACAGCAACATGATGCATTAAGATTTTAGTGTTTTCCCAGCAGCTGCTGTTATAGTCTTTAGTGAGGTACATTTGTTTAACCAACTTTTTTAAAAGGGGAAATTTGACCTACATTACATTTACAGCATTTGGCAGGCATTCGTAGAGTCCCAAAGTAACTTCTCTATCCTAAAGTATCTAAAAGTCATATCTCTTTTTAATTTTTAAATTACTCATTGAACACTCATTGAGACAAGGTGTAACCTGGCGTAAGTTCTTACCCTCGAGCACTAGGTTCCCAATAGGGAGCATATAGCCCAGAAAATGCCGGAACAAAATAACAGCCATACGACGTCCCAGCTGCAGCAGCCAGCTTTTCTACAAAACAAAAATGAGGAAGAAAAATCACAGCCCGAACATGTGTAAATACATTTGAAAGCCATAACCATTGAGGCTCCTTATAAAACTTCCTCACAAGAATAAATAAAGTGATAATGCTGCATAGAATAAGAAGCTAAAAAGTGCAAAGTATCACCTATATCTGAAGAGGATTTGATTATTCCCAGATTGTCCTTCAGCCACCTCACTACTGCTCCAGCAATGGCCACAGAGCCCTGAAGCACAGGCCAATCACATGTGGGCAAAAAGTACAGAGCTCAGTATAGATAACAGTACATCACAGAGCTTTGACAATCACCTGTCCCAATACATTATGCAGAAAAGAATGCTCTGTAACTGGTCGGTTTGTATGTCAGTCAAATGGCCCCTTCCTGTCAAAGTAGGTTTTTCTTGGCCACGCTGAGCAATGAAATGTGCCACATAATCAAAAGTCTGGCTTGCAAGACAGAACATCATCTTAAACATCACATAAACAAGTCTATTAGATTTAGGCATGCAGTTTGCACAGAATTAAGTGTGGTCAGATTAGCATTTGGCATAAAATTGTTTAATTGTTAAGCTTTTTGCTAAACTGTCACCTTAAGCCAGTCATAAATTGCAGTTCTGTTTTTGAGCAGAAAAGGCTGTGTATTTCTCTCCCTGTACCAACATTTTTGACTTAAAATGGAAATGAATATTCTCAACCTTTTAACATTCTGGAAGATCAGAAGCAACAGCACCAGTTTATGCAAAGTCACCCAGTTACAAACAACAGCAAACTTTTAGAGCTGTAAGCGGTATCTACCTCGAGTGCGTAGTAAGCAGGCTGGTCCCTCCCCAATTTGTAGGCAACTGTTGTAAGGAGGCCACGGTCTGACATCACAGGCTGTGAAGGAGATTAAAACTGAGAAGTGAACAAGTACCTGTAAAAATAGTCCATTAAACACCACTTACCTTGACACCAGTGTTTTTGAGCATGAAGCAGCCAGTTCCGTAACTATAATAGGACAGGGAGGTGAAATAGGACAGAACAAAAGTCCTTATTGTCTAAAACAGCTCAATATGTGCAATAAAAATCAATAAAACAATACTTTGTTGTCAGTCAAATCTGTAATATTATTGCCATGGGCAATCAGGCTGTTTGGACACACTAAACAACAAAAAATACAAAATAAGGTATTCTAGACTACAGTGTAAAAAAATTAATTTAGTGTGTTAAAAAGTTCACCAAACTTCTAAAAATAAGAAAGAACAACAACCTGTGTTTTATATTCTGTTAACCTATTATTTAAAGTTCAGTGAACTTCCTTTTTTTAGTTTAATATTTCAAAATTAATTACATTAAAACTTCAAGGTAAACTAGAAAGGGAAAGTTTGAGAATGACTTAAGTTGGCCAGCTAATAATTCTTCAGATATTAAAGCAGTTGTAAAAACTGTTAATTGCATTTGAGAACTTAAATGGGTCTACATAGTAAGGTGGGTAGTTGTTAGGTCAGTTGCTAAAGTATTACTGGGCTATTGATTGCTAGTAACCTAGGTGGTTACTAAAGTGTTGCTAGGCCATTGCTACGGTATCCCAGGTGGTTGCTAAGGTGTTGCTAGACCATTGCCAAGATATCCTAGGTGGTTGCTAAGGTGTTGCTGGTTGGCTGTTGCCATGCCAACACCAGAGATGACCATGATTGATCAAAGAGTTCATGCCACCAGCAAAAGTTCACAAAAATTGAACAGAGGGAGACTAAAATAGTTTCTCTAAAGAAAGCACCAACCCCTAGTTCTGTTACATCAGATAACATACACCTACGCTGGCTAGCATCACACTGGGCGAGGGGGCACAGCATTTCTAAAATGCTCATTCTTAGTCAACAGGTTAGGTAATAGTCTTACGTGTTTTTGGCTTGACCATCTTTGAAGCACATCTGACCCACAAGAGCAGCTGATTGGTCTCCCAAACACTGAGGAACACACACACAGAAACACACCTAATAGATTTACAGAACAAACAGTGCTCAAACACATCTTTCTGCACTAAGAACTGAATCACAGTGTCTGCACTAGCTATTGTCCTTCAGCTACAAATAAAGTTCTTAATAAAACATATCTTACTCCAGAGATGGGCACTCCCACAAGTGAACCAGAGCTCTACAAAAGAGAACAAAGTATGAAACATTTCATATAACCACAATTTACTGTTGAACATCACAGAGTCCTCACATAGCTGCAAACAGCATGAAGACACTTTGGATCAAAACCTCTGGATAAGTTGCACACGAGACGTTAAATGAGATCTTACTGAAGGTGAAAACAGAAAAAAGCATTTGTGTGATAAGAATGTTGTGTAATGAAACAGAGCAAATTTCTTAAACAGTTTGAGATCTGTTTTACAATTGTGTCATAATGCACAGAATGGCAAAAATTGTTTAATTCGATGTCCATGTCCATCAGTCCTGCTAGTAAACAATCACAAGCATGTTTCCTTGAACAAAACATAAGGTAATTAATGAATGAGTATAAATCTAATTCTATTTTCAAACTAACAACAATTTGGTTTTCATTTGCATTTTTGATGATTTTGTTGTCTGATGACCCTATGGTAATAAAAAAACACTGTTCATCCCTTATTTTAAAAGCATATTTTTACATGCATCACACAGATTTATGCATATCATGGCTATGCATGGCTAAGCTACCCAAACAGTGCTCACTGTGTGAGCTGTATGGACGACTTCATAGTCATCCAATTCAAAGAGAAGTGACATTGTTCATTTAAATGAACTGAAGTAAATTATTTCAAAGCCATTATTATTAGCGTCTTATGTTGTGATTATTTATTAATAGAGTACCAAACTCACTTCACATTCACAGTACCTCTGCATGCTTCTAAACATGTGTGAATGATTCACATTACAGTGAACATTCGTTTGCATGAAAGCACATATCAGAGTAACTGTTACATTGTGATGGTTTTACAGTGTTGAGCACATTCAGTTGAAGCAGGACATTATGCTTAATGGCATGAGCAATGGTGGTTATTTTGGGTGATTTAGGTCAACATACTCATTACATACCATGTAGCCATATATCTCTGAGGAGCTTCTAACTTCAGGGAGAATTTCAATAGGAACATCAAAGTATCTAAAATGACAAAAGTTCCACAATTTCAGCAAATAAATTTCATCCATTATTAACATACATTACTGTAATGTCAGCTGTATTTCTCACTCCATCAGAGCGAAAACAAAACAGTACAAACGCCTACAGAATGAATGTATATCAGTGTATGTGTTTGTTTTTCTACATTTTCAGGCCACACTATGTGGAAAAAACAACACTTATACAAATCAGGGTCTATCTAACAAAGGTTTTTGCAAAGTACTTTTTTTATTGCACTCTATTCAGTATTGACAATCATACAACTGGCTAACATACAAAGAATTTTAAGAAAGACTTTCTGCAGAAGTCCACAGGGGGGTCCAAAGTTTCCAGAATTTGTCCATTTGATGACGCAGGTCATAGGTCAGTTTTTCTACGGGAAGCAGCGTTGCAGCTTGGGAAAGCCACTGCTCAACAGTTGGTGGAGATTGAATTAGGATATGTTTTTTGCCAGAAATGAAAACATTAGAAACAAAAATTTGCCATTGGTTTCAAAATATGTTCTGCTCCTATTCCCAAGAGATACAGGGCAGGGGACTTCTGAAATCGTGTTTGAAAAATATTTTCTACTGTAATATGTACTCTGTCCCAGAACGTGCCAATTTTTTTACATTGCCACAAGGCATGAAAGAATGTTCCTTTTTCAGTTTTACATTTAAAGCACAAATTTGATCTGTCTGGAAACATCTTTTGTAGGTGAACAGGTGTAAAGTAAATCCTATTCATAAATTTAAAGTTAAGCTCATGAACACCAGATGAAGTACATATGGGAAACAGGTTTTCACAAATATTAAGCCAGTCCTCTTCTCAGATAGGTTGGTCTAGGTCTCCTTCCCAAAGTTCTCTCAGAGTGTCTGACGAGGGCTTAATACTGTTTAGCAAAATGTTGTAAATTAGTGAAATCGACCCTCTGGCCTGATTCTGCTTAACCAGTACCACTTCAGGTCGGTTGATTCCTTTCTGAATTTCCCATCCCATCTAATGGCTAAAGTGATAAGATGTCGAACCTGAAGATATTTGAAAAAAATCTGACCTGGGTAACTTGTATTCTTCTTGCAACTGTATGAATGATTTAAACAAACTATCAAAAAACATCCCCTAATCCCTCTATTAAGCCAAGCTGAGAGTCCAGACCTACTGGGAAAGTCAGCTGGGAAAGTAAGTCTGGGTTGTGGGCTGGGGGGGAGCAGCAAAAGGCATTGGGGAATCCCAAGGTATTTCTTAATAACTGTCCAGGCCATAAGAGTATTGTATAAAACAAAATTTTCAGAGACACACCTTACCTCCGCAACGTTGTTAATGAACAGTAAGCAATCAAGAGGAATAAGGAGACATGCCTCAGTTTCTATAGAGACCCAGTGAGAATGTAACCTATTTGTACACCAGCTGATCATATGCTTAATTTGAGATGACCAACAATACAACTGCATGTTGGGTACATAGGCACCACCCCCTCCTTCGATCTCATTAGTCTGGAAAATTTAAGTCTTGGCCTTTTATTATTCCATACAAATTTTGAGAAAATTTCTCTAATTTCCTCTAAATCCTTAAAGCAAATTGTAGGTAAATGGCAAGAAATTTATTGAAATAAATGGAGTAAACAAGGGAGGATATTCATTCTTATTATGTTTACCCTGCCAAAGAGGGAAATAGGGAGAAGATTCCATAATTTAAGATCATGTTTTATATTATACATAAGTGGAAGATAATTTCTGTCAATAAGTTTATTAAGATTTGGAGTGATGTGAATACCTAAGTATTTAAAACCCTGTACCACTAATTGAAAAGGAGATGCAACTACCCAAGTTAAGGGATATTTTTAAAGGTAAAGCTAATGATTTTTAAAAATTTATTTCATAGCCGGAAAATTTACTGTATTCTGAGACACACTTTATTATAGCTGGAATAGATTTTTCTGGGTGGGTCATATACAACAAGACCTCGTCTGCGTGGAGTAAGATTTGATGATCCGCTCCTCCTGCTCTAATACCTGAAATGTCCTGGGAGCATCTAATTGATTCTGCAAATGGTTCAATCACCATGAACAAAGCAACGCAGAAAGAGGGCAGCCTTTTCCTGTTCCTCTTCTGAGTCTTTGTCTCTTTTAAGTATTACGCATATTGAGGCAGTTTTTCAGGTTTTGGGCATAGTGGCCTGGGTACTCAGATCCATAATAACTGGCATCAATATAGGTTGAAGTTCAGGCCAAAATGTTTTATAAAATTATAAAAATCTGTCATTGTCTGAGACCACCAGAAGTGATATGTTATCTAAATATGCAGTAATGTCAGACACTAAAGCTTAATATTGGGGTTTATATAAGGATTTGTAGTCATTTTTAAAGGGAGTATTGATCACCTTTGGATCATATGTATGAGAACCTGTCAGATTTTATTAATCGCTCTGAATGTTCTTTCTTAATCTGATAAACCAGTAACCTACTAGGTTTATTACCATATTCATTCTAAGCACACGTTTGCTTAGAAAAGAATAACAATTTATCAATATAATTTTTATATTCTAGATTAAGTTTAGCTCTGATGCTACATAAAGAGGCCCAGTTAGATTGTTTGGATTTGATTTATGCAGCTGCTTAAGGCATGCTACTGCCTTTTCTAAATACATCTGATTTTGTGTTTTCATTTTTTGACATGATGAGGTGTAAGATATAATATGCCCACGGATTGTGGCCTTCAAAGCTTCCCATTGCATAAATGGTGAGACATTACAGTCCTTATAATATTCCCAATATTCTTTAATCCAGTAATGTACCAGGAAACGTTAAAGGGAAGAGTTAAATCTCCAAAGTCTGCTTTTTTTATATATTTTTTTTATATATTTTTATAAGTGCCAAAATTAATATGCAAGCTAACTGGGGCATGAGCCGATAAGACAATTAAGCCAGTCTTACAAGACTGGACCGTGTGAACAAAGCCTCTTGGAATAAAAATATAGTCGATTCTGGATTTAGAGGCATAAAGCAAAAAGTATAATTTCTAGTCATGAGGTTCAATTCTCACCAGATATCAACTAGATCAGTATTCTTAGACATGTCTTTTAAAACAGATGAGGATCTAGAATGAGAGAATGTGTTGGGTGAGGATCTATCCATCTAGTGTGCAGTTAAAGTCACCTGCCAGGAGTCTCATCCCTTTACAATGTTGATTAAAAAGCAGTACTATGTCCAACATTAATTTGGGGGAATCTTCATTAGGGGCATAGACACTAAGTATGGTAATATGTTGACCAAGCAGTGTACCTGAAATTAAAACAAATCTTCCCTCAGGGTCTTTGAGATTCACATGTAAATGATGCTTACTAATTAAAATTGCAATACCTTGCCTGTGTGGGACTAAAGAATAAGAGGAAAAGAAAACCTGTCCAACCCAATCTCTTTTTAATTTTAAATGCTCTGCATCGGAAAGGTGTGTCTCTTGAAGAACAGCAGAAGTTTTCTCTTTTTTCAAAAAGGTAAATTTTTTCCCGCTTAACCATGTGGCCCAAACCCTTCACTGTCCATGTAGTACATTTATATAAACTATCCATATCCTGATGGAAAAAGAAAGTATGTACTGGCCCATTGTATGGCCCATGTGAGAGACTGAACATTGACTGCCTTTTGTAATCCAACACATATAGACCAACCCAGTAAAACCCATATCCACCCACCCAAACCTGTCCCCAGTATTATAATAATAGACATTGTTAGAATGAATTCCGCATCACAACTGAGCCAAGCCGAACGTGATTTGCATCAACCCGTATGCATTCCATAAAACTTGGGGAAAAAAGACGTCAAAGCTTCAAGACAATTTACAATTTAGTCCAGAAAATCTAGTAAAAGAGCCATATAAATAGTCAATATATGATGTACAATTTAAACAGTACGTCAAACAGAACATCGAATCTGCTAACTCCGGGGGATATGTGGCTTCAAGAGATTTTAAAAAATCCTGAGCTGCAGCAGGTGTCGAAAACCCCCAAGTATATGTAACTGTAGCTCAGAGAACCAGTGGGCGTAACGAATAGGCAGAGACAGCCAATAGTCTGAAGGAAAGTGCAAAAAGGCATTACATACTGTTCAGGCACTCTGAAGTGGGAGGTTTAAAGCTTTGAAGTTGCCTTAAATATGACCTAATTTCTTATTTCCGATCAATACATTATTAGAACTATATATATATATATATATATATATATATATATATATACACAATGTAATTTGTTACTGTACTTAGTTTTTTCATGTATCTCTACTGAAGTATTTCTATTTTGGCCGACTTTTTACTTTAACTCCACTACATTTCAAAGTCACATATCTTATTTTTTACTCCACTACATTGTGTGATATCTGTCGTTCGTTTTGTCTTATGTGTGCATGTGTACATGCTTATATGTGCATGCTTAGGTCTCTTTGGCAGGTAAAGCAGGACGGAGTTCATGCAAACACTGACTGACCATCACACACAAAAGAATTAGTGAATTGACAGAACATATTCTTCCTGACTTTGTGGGTAAATACATGAACACAATATAGAAATATGTGCACATATGCAGTTATGACTGGCATGTGTCCTTTTTCTGAGTTTATACAAACACTGTTTCCTTTTATAGTAAATTTGTTTTAGCTAGTTTATGTTTATGAACAGAGATATATATATATATATAGAATATAGTGAAGGAAAATTCCTTTGTGAACCTGTGTTTAAAGCACGTTTATATTTAACTTAAACTTGTAACTATGTTGCGAATAAATCTTAAACCGAAACTTTGCTTGTTCACAAAAGGTAATTTCATAGCCACTTGGTTCCTTATGGAAACTGTTGGCCTTCAGTGTTTTGTGCTTATGATAATTTTATGTCTCTGGTCTGCAGCATTCCCCTTCTGACAAAACTGGGTGTTAAACTAACCCAAAAACATCTAGATTGCACGTTAACATTTGGCTGCTTCTGCTTAGCTATATCATCACTTAATCCATTTATCGTCCATAACACAGCTAGAGGGTTACATTTGATGTACCTCCCTGTTGAAAAAAGTCATAGAACCCATTAAAAGTGTCTGTTGGTTCCTGGTGGTTTTCAGTAGTCGCTAATGGTATGCTGTACTTTCCTTATGGGTTGATATCACAGTGTAAAGGATTCAAATCATTTAATCAGTTGTTCTGGGACTGATTCCATACACAGTTGTTGTTTCCTAATGATCTCTAACGGCAATCATCAGGTTTTATCCCTTTATTCTAATCGTCTTCAGCATGGCTTTCATGAGTTTCAGCCATAGCCTGTTTATTTTTTCTGCTAATAAACCCGTGTAGCGCAAGAATCGGACTGTGATGTAACATGGCGTTGTCTTCGAGCTTGAGAGCACAGTGGGTGTTCTGTGCATCCGTTCAATCTCTGTTAAAGTTACCAGTGATTCCTGCAGTTTGGATGTAGAGCTATCAATGGTGTTGAGGCGCGTATCGATGCTGTCCAGTCGAGAGTCTAGTAATCCAAGTCGAGAGCTAATTTCTCGCATTTCAGTTAGCACTGGGTCATTTTGGCTAGAGTCGCCGTGTTCGTCAGGAGTCTTCTTCTTTGCGGTGCCAGTGCGTTGAGGCATTGAGGCATTAAAGAGCGGAAAATCTCGATTTTCTTGCGTTTTTGACATGTCTTTAGTCATCGAATGAAAGAAAAAACAATAGTCTATCTCTGGGGTAAACTGATGTATTACCGACAGTGGAAACGGAGCTCAGATCTAGGCAGCCATCCGTTAGAAGGTCATGTGCTATGGGATATGCTATTATTACATATAGATGCTTAATTACATATTGCTGCTGTAAGAAAAAAACTCGTATTTCCATTTTTTTTTCCATTTTTTACATTTTTGGAAATGCCTGTTGCCCTTTACATTATGTGCAAATTTCATGATGAATGGACAAGAAGAAATACATTACAGAGTTACTAAGCCAGAATGTTTTTTCCCTTTCCTGTAAAGTTAGCACTGTGGAGATACAAGGTTTTGTTCCAAAAGCAGTGATATAATACATTATTACTTAAAGACACAAATATTGTCACTGTAAGAACAAAACCTAAAAAATCTCAAAATGGTAACTTTACAGGAGAAGGAAAAAGCCTGCTTCAGTTTAAAAGTTAATGTAAAAATATGTTATTCCACATAATTTTGAACCTGTTGGTCCATTCATCATGAAATACTCTCACAATGTAAACAGCAGCTAGCATGTTCAAACAGTATCACAAAATGAAAACGATGAAAAAAAATTGTTCCAACAGCAACAATAACAAACATAATATTTATGACTCTCCATGTCCTGACAAGGTATGAAAACAAGTGTATGTGTGTGCGCGCGCATGTGTCTGAACTCACTTGCACAGCTCCGGATCCCACTGCATGGTGTGTATGTTGAAAAGCATGGTGCGGCTGGCGTTGGTGACGTCTGTACAGTGAACTCCACCGTTCTTTCCCCCGGTCAAACACTGAGACACAAACACATCAATAAAATAATACACAGATAACAGCCTGTTATTTAGTTTACTACTCCAGTTTTTAGTTATTGATCAGTTATAAGTGAATATTATGCCTATTATATAAGATAACTAATTGGTATGCTAATTTTAAGGCAGTATTCTCTAAGTTCTCTACACTTTTCTTACATGTAAATGTCACCTAACCACACAAAACATCATGTAATTTTATATTGTTTCTCACTGTATATCACAAACAAATTTCATGAATTGTGCAGATTCTAAACTTCAAATTGATACCACATTTATGTCTATATGTAGAAGATGATATATTTGATTGTTATTTGAATTTGATCGAAAGTAATTGCTGTGCAGAAAAATCATGTTTGCCACATTTTCAACACTTCGGAACTGCAACTCAAACCTGTCAATACAAAATGCAAATCAAGTGCAAAAGTAATTTGTTATGTAATGTAGGTGAGGCAGTATACTTGGTCCACAATTTGATTAAGATTCCAGATGTTCGAATGGTATAGCAGTCTGATATTTTGATCAAAATTGTACTTAAGAAAAGTGTGAATGTTTCCATGTTGTTGCACAGTTTACATTGTTAACACAGTCACATTTCCACAATGCACACTGTCACAGTTTTGCATCACAATATCACAATGCACTGTCATCCCCTATAACAACTCTAACTGATTTTATAATTCTGTAATTACATTTATACAACAGTTAGTTCCGGCCATACAAGCCATTTGGTTGAGAGGCATTCTAACCGTGCTGTTATTTTCGCCATAATATCACAGATTTTTCACAAACTCTATCACTCCGCTGAGATGCCGTTGCTAAACAATGACTTTGACAGCTGTAGGAGATGCTCAAGCCATTTGAACGTTTTTACTTCTTACTTTGCAAACAAACAAAAATTGGATACTTTTAAGATTACATCTGACCTACAGCCGATTTGGTCCGACTCTGAAGATGAGACTACACTAAATTCCTAAACTGTCAGTTGGTCTATGTAAGCAGCTGATGAACGAACTGCGGCTGTGCAGCGAGTGAGCAGAGCTCGTTACTCTGACTCAGCAACAAGCTGCTTGTTAAGGAACTATAATTTGGTGGAGGGAACTGCTAACATTAAAACATTTTAAATGCCACATTCACGGCCCAATTTATTTATTTCTTACTTTATTTATTTAACTGTTGCATAAAAGCAATAGAACACTCGAGGCCATGTGCTATCTCAAATAACATCACAGCTGTGATGCCTGCGACCAAATCACAGCCGTGATGTTATTTCACAATAACACTCCCTCTCGTGTTCTATTGCTTAATTAAATAGCATTGCACTACTGCCTGTACCAAGTGACACTGTGATATTAAATGATTAATTTTAATAGACTGCTTCCTTCCACTTAAAGGCCAAAAGGCCTTTAAACTCACAGGAGATCCATTTTTTCTCTGCAGTGTACACATGCCTCACAACTATGGAATCTGCAGAATGTAAACGAGATGGAGGCATAATTTACATGTCTCTGGGATGCAGAAGAATTCAATTTTTAATGATATAAATGAAAAAAAATATTTTTAATATATTTCTTTAAATACAAACACATCAAAGAGTGAAAATGTATAAGTGCCAACAAGTCTTGTTGGCACTAGACTAAAAGCTTTTTCCAATGTATTGGCATGATCTTCATAGGGGCTTTTTATAGGGGCCTATAGGGAGCGCTACAAGCCTCGTTCTGTCCTCTGCAGTCTGCTGCAGGATTAGGCAGTTTCAGAATGAAGATATACTGCTTTTACTCCTATTGGCTACTAGAACCAAAGCGAAAGCATCGATTAAGTGTAAAGCAAGATTTTATCTGCTTGTGCTAGTAAGTGTCAAAAACTGTGTGTGATTTTATTGAGCCTGTGTATACTTGTTTCTCTCTATGACAAAAAAAAAAAGAATTTAAAATACAAGTTTGACACATTAAAAGGCAAACAGTATTACTTATATTGTGGCTCTGACTTAAAGTGTTGGAAATGTGCTAGTGTGCTATAATGTGCTAGTGTGCTATAATGTGTTATTTAGCCCACACAGTGAGACCTTCAAGTAAAATTAAGAGGCTGATATAAATCGGCCAAAAAATTTGCATCCCTCTAATATTAAGACTGTATACAGAGACCACATGGTGGGTGAAGGTGGGTAAAGTGTGTATGTTCATGCCCTACCCAGATGAGCCAGGAGTCCACTGTCCCAAAAACAGCACGGTTAGTCTGCACAGCCTCCGCCACGTTCTCTATGTTATCCATCAGCCAGCGCAGCTTCAGCGCACTGAAATACGTGCTGATGGGTAGACCTGTTTTATCCTGAAAGAGACACCAAAATAAGTAACTTCACAGAGTTAGGAACAACTCATGAATTCCAGAATTTAGACTGATGTGTGCATACACCTTCATATCACCTTTAGGTGGTTTTTGTTCTTGCCAGGAGTTTTCTTGATCAGCTTCTCCACTGTAGACTGTGTCCGCAGATCCAACCACACTGCAGACATCAAAAAGCACAACTGTCCAGCTTCTGATCCAAAAGCACATTCATATTCCACTGACCAGGCAAAAAACAGTCATCGAATATTATTTTAAAGGGACAGTTGAGTGAAAAATCTGCGCAAAGGATCTACAAATGGATTTACCCATAGTTAACAGCACATTAGTTACCATATTTCTGTGCAAAAGCCACCTTTAATTTATTTAATTTAGAGTTAAAACAGCCACTGAAGCCACTGTAACAATTTTACCTTAAAAAACAGCTTCAAAATCATTTGAAGCTGGTACACTGACTGACAGAGAATGGTGCCTCTGTCTTTTCCACTCCAGCCTGAAACGCATGCTATGGTGCTATGTAAGTTTGGCGGAGTGGGCACGAAACCTCTCGCGAGAACTGTATAACGCTTTACTGCACCACATCACACATCAACATCTATGTCCTCAGCTAGCTATAAGAAGAAGCTAGCTCAGTATTCCTAGCATAGACATCATGGCAGAGGCTGTGAAGAGACTGAGGAAGATGTTGTTAAAGGAGAAAAAGAGAGAGTGACTGAGCAAGACAGTAAATCTCGGTCTGGCTTTTAATCATTGGTGCGAGCTAAAAGAGATAAAAGGATGCAAGACAGTCTCATGGCTAATGGGAAAATAATGAAAATCCAACAGCAGAGTCTAAATCCCTGCCAATGTTATTTTATGAAAGATTGAGACGTATGCTGTGTAACATTATCTGTGCCACCCCTATCTCACAGAGTTTTGTAGTTTCTGTATCCTTTTTTTGTATAAAAGCCTCAACAACATAATGGCATAATAGCAGATGTTTTTAATATTTAGTGTGTCCACTCTTCACCTTTATCACAGCATCTATTGTTTTCAGGAGACTCATTTTCAGTTTCTCAAAGAAAGCTGCAGTCACACCTCCAAAATTCAGTCTTAGAAGTTGGTTTAGCATTTTCTGCTTCTCACCTTTAAGTAATCCTAAACACATTCAGTGATGTTGAGGTCTGGAATCTGGAGTGGTCACGTTCTGAGAACACCAGCACCTTTGTTTGATGTGTATGCTTATTGAAAGCTACACATCTTTTCAGACTCGTAGCTTTGAGTTGTCTTCTCACAGTGGGAGGACAGACAGAAACACCTGTGGAATTTTTCAGATTTGAAGAGTGGAAAAGCCAACTTACTGTTCTTCTTAATCTTATTACATCTTCTTCTTCTTATTAATATTATTTATTTATTTTTTTTATTATACACTTAAAGTTTGTAAACTTTTCACGGTCCACAGTTTTTGACATACAACAACCAAATTTTGCACAAACGTTCCTCATATACAAGAATGCTTTTTGGACTAATCCGATGTACAGCTTTTGGAAAACGACAGTTTAAAGACAAAATTTTCACTTTGGAAATGACACCACAAACACACCAAACACTCTACACACAACACACAATGAACACAACAACCACTCTACACCACAAGCACTCTACACACCACACACACTCAACACACCATAAGAGAGCAGTGTATTTAAGGTACCAGTGGATTTAAGATATCAGTAAATTTAGGGTGGCAGTGGATTTAAGGAGGCATTGGGTTTAAGATATCAGTGAATTTAAGGTAGCAATTAATTTAGAGTAGCACGGGATTTAAGGCAGCAGTAGATTTAAGGTAGCAGTGGAATTAAGGTATCAGTAAATTTAAGGTGGCAGTGGATTTGAGGTACAAGTAAATTAAGGTGGCAATGAACTTGGGGTGGCAGTGGATTTAAGGCATCATTGAATTTAAGGTGGCTGTGAATTTAAGGTATCAGTGGATTTAGGGTAGCAGTGAATTTAAGGTAACAATGGATTTAAGGTATCAGTAAATTTAAGTTGGCAGTGGATTCAAGATAACAGTGGATTTACAGTGGCATTGGATGCAATAAATTCAAGGTAGCAGTAGATTTAAGGTTGCAGGAGATTTAAGATAACAAAAGCTATTATTGGATTTAAGGTGGCATTAGATTTAAGGTAGAAATGGATTTAAGGTAGCAGTGGATTTAAGGTAGCAATGGATTTAAGGCAGCAGAAGATTTAAGGTACCAGTGGATTAAAAGTGGCAGTGGATTTAAAGTGGCATTGGAGTTCAGGTAGCAGTAGATTTACGATTGTAGTCAGTGGATTTAAGGTTTAAGAACTAACTCTCTGTGTGTTTTCTTTTTCTTTGCCGAGTTAAACAGCTGCCCATCGTTTGTAGTCTGTGCTTCTTCTGCCTTGATCGGGTGCCCACTGCTCGCCAGCTTTCTGGACCGGTTTGACCACTACGAAGCTACTGCTGTACAATGTTGTGCAAACCTCACCTGCATGAACTGAGCTTCTGATGATGCTGCTGCTGCACAGACTCAATCTAATTATAACGATTGCTTCAACTGTTTTTCCTGTTTCTGTATTTTAATATTTTATACTAACACTGTTTCCTATCCGGTGTTGACCAGAGGAGGATTTTCCTCGCCACTGTCGCCATTGGCTTGCTTGTGAGGGCTTGTACCCAGATTTTTCTGGGAAGCTGCTTTGTGACAACACCTGTTGTAAAAAGCGCCATATAAATAAACATTGACTTGACTTGACTTTGACTTAAATGGATTTAATATACAATTGGATTTAATGTAAAAACAGATTTAAGGTACCAGTGGATTTAAGATAGCAGTGAATTTAAGAAAGCAGTTGATTTAAGGTACCAGTCTATTTAATAGCATAGCAACCACCAAGCAACACCTTAACATCAACCTGGGACACCATAGCAACCAACTAGCAACACCTTATCAACCACTTTGGATACCATAGCAACCGCATAGCAACATCTAAGCAACACGTTAGCAACCATCAACTTCCACCATCTGATATCTCAGTGAGCCCTCTTATCTCTGTTACGTTTTGGCTTTTAGTTAAGATGCAATAGCTATACCTGCCGGAGTCTTTGCTGCACTCTGTTAAAACTGTATACTCTTAACAGAACCAACTATTTGTGTGTTTTCTTTGCTGAGTTGAAGAACTGCCCATCCAGTGTGGTCTGATGCTGGTGTTTCTTCCTCTTGGTCTTATGGAGTTTTTCCTTGCCACTGGGCCTGAATTGTTCAGTAAAGCTGAATGCAAGGTGTGGATTCAAGGTGTTAGTGATTTTAAGGTACCAGTGTGTTTAAGGTAGCAGTGGATTTAAGATGTCAGTCCATTTAAGGTAGTGGTGTATTTAAGGTATCAGTGGATGTAATGTAGAAATGTATTTAAGGTAGCAGTGGATTTACAGTATCAGTGTATTTCAGGTAGCAACAATTTAAGGTAGCAGTGGATTTACAACAGTGGATTTAAGGAAGCAGGAGATTTAAGGTGGAGGTGGATTTAAGCAGGCAGTGGATTAAGGGGAGCAATGGATTTAAGATTATCAGTAAATTTAAGTTTTTAAGTTTGCAGTGGATTTAAGTGAGCAGGAGTGAGGTAGTAGGAAATTTAAGGTGGCACTGGATTTAAGGTAGCAGGAGTGAGGTTGTAGGAGATTTAAGGTGGCAGTGGATGTAAGGTAGCAATGAATTTAAGTTACCAGTGGACTTAAAGTATCAATAAATTTAAGATATCAGTTTATTTAAGGTATCAGTAGATTTAAGGTATTAGAGAATTTAATGTAGCATTGGATTTAAGGTGTGAGATAGCAATGACTTTAAGTTACCAGTGGATTTAAAGTAGAAACAGATTTAGGTAGCAACAGCTTTGAAGTTGCAGTGGACTTAAGGTTTAAGTGGACTTAAAATTCCTGTGGATTTTAAGTAGCAAGAAATTTAAGGAACTAGTGGATTTAAGGTACTAGTTAATTTAAGGAAGCAGTGGATTTAAGGTACCAGTGTATTTGATAGCATAGCAACCACCTATCAATACCTTAGCAACAACCTGGCACACCACAGCAACCACGTAGCAACTTATTACCAACCACCTTGGACACCATAGCAATCGCCTAGCAACATCTAAGCCAGTGGTTCTCAACCTTTTCCACCCCAAGGCCCACCTGTGTATACCTACAAAGTATAGCGGCCCACAAGAAAATTAAAATCAACTTTTTTTAAAACTTACTTTTAAAACTTTATTTTTCTTGTTTTAAATGCGGATTGTGAAAACCTGAAAATTAGGTCCTGAAAACATCAGGTTGGTCATTCTGGTTGTCAGGTTGTAGGTTTGCAAAATTTGCAGGTATGTTAAAAAACATAAAACATGTTTTAAAAACCACATAGTTGTAGTGATGTTAAAAAGGGGTAAAAAAAAAAGAATAGAAATGTACAAGGTAGATGTGATTTGGAGCTACAGTCTCTCACGTTTTCAGTGAAAATACTCCACTGGCTTTTCCAAAAGAGTAACTGTTTGGTCTCAAGATGTTTCTAGTTTTGAGGGTTTTTGTGATTCATTTGAAATAAATCACATTCACTGAGCTTTTGGATTAGCATCGTTATAATCAACCATAAAGGTTAATCTTACTTCATATCTGCTTCTTTGTCATTGGTTTATCAGTTTGAGTTTAACCACTCCGGTTGCAGATGCTCGACCAAATATACACTCCGTGATCCATGAGTTGAAATCAAACGCATCTCTTCGCTATTATTTGATGGCTCGTCTATTGTTTTTAACAGCAGCTTGTATTGATGAATTCCCTAGTTTGATCACAGAGCACATTTCCATCAGCAGTGAACTGAACAGGGTTTAGTTTAAAGTGGACTGAGACCTGCAGTTTCTGCTGGACTGGTTCAGCTGTTTGCTGCAGACCTGAATATGGGTGAATTCTTCACACGTGTCAAAACAGAGCAAACTAAAGAAAAATGTGTGATAAGTCCACACCAAACAAAGCGCCCTGGGACACTTCTCCATTTCTGGCTAGCTGTCTGCATTGTGCACCCGCAGCTACATTGTCTCAGACTGGTAACATTTAGTTAGTTATTATTTATTTAGTTAATCATTTTTCTACTTATGTTTTTATGACTTACAGCGACGTTACCGGCCCGAATTACTGCCTTCCTCTGAGTACATGCCTGTGGACCACTAGAGGGTGCTTCAACGCCCACTGGTTGTCTGCGGCCGACAGGTTGAGAAACCCTGATCTAAGCAACACTCTAGCAACCATCAACAGTCTTCCACTATTTTTATTTTTTTAACGTACACAGCTGGCTTTTTCAGACCAACTTAAAGTTTGTCTCATAAAATTACCTTTTCTAGTTGGTGGATATAAGCTTGCACTGCTTCTTAGCCACATAAGCCTCCTACCTCCAGTGCCAAAACTAAAAAAGCAAATTCCAAACATAAAACGTCTTAACATTTGAACTACTTGTTTAACTGAACCTTGTTTCAATTGTGCTGCAGCAAAGATATGGGCAGTATTGGAGGACACTCAACTACAGCATTTCAAATAGGCACAATGATTTGCAAATGTGGCTTGTGCAATTATTTCACTGGCTGTCACATTGGTTAACTGATGATGTTCTGGCCTCTGCTGTTCTGAACAAGCATGTGCTTATTTCAAGAAAACTGAGCTGACAGTCTATTGGTGAGGTATTGAGTCAGAAATTTTGAAATATTGCTACTTCTATCCACAAATAATAATAGATTTTGCATTGAACATTTGTAGATTTGCTAGATTAAAAAACAGAAACCATCAGACAAAATGATGCAGTCACTGTTAACTGGATTTTATACTGATAAGCTAATAAGTGCAAAATCGAAACAGAACTACTGTACTATATATACCAATAATACCATGTTATAACAAATAACATGGTATTATTGGTATATATCACATCTTTATGCTTAAATCATTTGCTAGTACAGAATCTAGAGCAGGGGTGCACAACTCCGGTCCTGGAGGGCCGGTGTCCAGCACAGTTTGGTGATTTACCTGCTCAAACACACCTGATCACACTTAACTGTTAATTGCCAGGTTAAGTAGGTGCGTTTGAGCAGGGACACCTCCAAACTGTGCTGGACCCTCCAGGACCGGAGTTGTGCACCCCTGATCTAGAGTGTGTACAGATACAATAAAGCTCCAGCTTCTTGAAAAATTTGCAGTGTGTCACTGTTTCACCACTTTTTCATTTCATTACTTAGTATAGATTTAAAAATCTAACCTCACAATGGCTTGACTCAATTACATTTCTTTAGAGGTTAATTAAATGCATCATGAAATCTCTAACTGGACTATGTAGTGGGTTTTGCAATTTAGCGTTATTATTGATAGAACCTTAGACAAGGGTTTAGGGTAATACAGATTTATTTAAAGTCTACAGACCAGGGCAAGAGAGAGAAACGCTAGCACCAAGGATGCTTCAATAAAAGGGAATTTATTGGCTAATTATTAAATTACATTTGGATTACTTTCAATGATAAACAACAGAAAATGAGAAAAAATAAAAATTAAAAGTCAAAGAAACAAATAGCTCAAGTAAAGTGATTCACAGCTAAATAGTATGAGGCAGTGTGGTTCTTGGGAAGCAGCTTAAAACTTAGACGTGAAAGAGCCTCTAGAGAATTAACCTAAGTATGGACGGGAATAACTATATGGGGTGGATATATCTATTAAATGTTTTCTTATTAAAAAAAATTGGCGCCAGTGCCCTGACTGCAAATTGAAGGAGCCAGCTTACGTTGGAGTCGAGGGAGCTGACTTCAGGAGGGGTCGTCTCAGGACCGGCTCGATCGAAGGCTGGAGCTCACACGTTGGTTCATCTCCTCGCTGGTCGGAGGCTGCGTCGTCATGCAGACACACGCCGTTTTAGTCAATGACTGGGCAGAGGCGTCTCGTGGCGGCTTGAGGGTGGGGCTTGGACAGCCTTTCGATGGTCAATCTGCTCACAGATTAGTGCGTGACTCTAGAACTGCTCTAAATCCGCTGGCAAGATTTAGATTGCAATCAGGGTTCTGAGGCTGATGATACTAATTTAACTAACTACCTCTCTTTGGCAGAGTCGAAAATGCGAATAAGTTCTCCCTGGCCAGACAAGAACTCATTCACCTTCCTCCTGGGTGGTTTAAACTTAAGGTGTACAAACGGACAGACAAGTTACAAAAACAAACAAAGGTTTCAGATCTGAAATTTTAGCGTTCCAATATTTCTGACCTATCTTTCTGACCAAGGCACAAACAAGAAATTAGCTATCTTCTTATTAAGAACGCAGAACTCCCCAAAATTGCTGTGCATTCAGGTTTTGTTCGGCTGTAGGCCCTACCCTTTGGAGGCGGAGCCAGAGTGCTGATAGATTCTCCTCACCTAACGGTTAATTAGCTATTCATTGTTTCCAACTCTGATTGGTGGTGCATAAATTTAGGAGCGCCTTCCCCCAGAATCACTGCCTTCTTTGTTTTAGTTAGTTTTTAAAACAAAGGAAACGAAACATTATTCTAAGATAAAATCGGTTTAACTTTCAAAAACAAGGAATGAACAACTAGGGCATTCAGGTATGCTTCATAAGAGAGAGTTTAACCCTTGTTACCTGATACACAACACACGTTAAAAGACACAGGTAACATTTGCCTGTAATATCTGGATATTGCCGGTTACGAACAATTCAACCAGGGTTGTTACCCAATGCATGAAGAAATAAAATCAACAACAAAGGAAAAAGAAAGAAAAGAAGAGAAAACTACATTCAGGGTACATATTTGTCAGTGGTCTAAACTCACTAGAATGAAATGGTTGCATCGGTCTGTTATCAAAGTTATACACTGCGTGTAGTATTGCTGACGGATTATATAAATATTTATAATCAAGCAGACAACGTAACAAGTTTTCTTGGGTTCTTTTCTTTATACGCAAATGTCCTTACGGTGATGGTGTGTTGTATCTCATTCTCACCACTTGGGGGTGCTGTGGCTCCATATCTAAATTGTCAATAAAATCTAAAAAGGGCTAACTTTGTTATACATTCTCATAACAACCTCTTTTTGGGGTCTCCAGACTTCTTGAACCCTGTTGAATGGTGGCAATTCGGAGTCAATGCACGCTTTAGAAATTTGATTTCCTGTAATTCAAAAGTTTAGTTAAGAGTCTTGGTAAAACTCTGCAGCTGGATTCCACGCATGGATTTATTGCTGCCTGGTGAACCTTTTAGGGCAGAAGGTTGATAACCTCCCGCGGTGTCCATGCTTGGTCCCAGGGTAACTTCGTTTTAAGCTGTAAAACTTTTTAGACAACTTAATCCTGTTTTATGGCTTTTACCTCAGACTTTGGAGCCAAAAGCTTTTAGTTTGGGTAACGTGGAGAGTTCTTGTAAACAAGAGTGACTTTGGCTCAACCAGATCGTGTTCACTACAACTACAATTAATCTGATTATTTTGATAAGATTCAGAACTATCTTTAAAAATACACTGAATACATTAATGTGGCTGCATGAAGTATTTATATGGTTGTTGAACAATACAACAAACTGGGTATTTTTTAGATTTTTACATTAAAACAAGGTTACACCTCTCTCTAAACCCTGCCCCCCAAATTCCTTCAGGCCAAGCTCTCTGGAGCACAATCGGTAACACAAGCAAAACAAGCTAGCTAGTTAACAAAACTTTTTTTCTCCGTAACAGTTAAAGTTTATTTTACTGCATGTAATGTGATCTCCCAATATGCAACTCACATCTACATGCTTAAGTGGATTTTTTTGGGGGACTTTTTTGCTGTGCTAACGTACGCTACATCCACGTGTTAACAACTGGCTTGTTGTTCATCACAAAGTGTTAATGAATGTACCAGAGACCCCTATTGTGAGCTGTGCCTTTTATACATTGGACTGGTTTAAATATTTCATACTTTTGTTCCCACCAAAATAAGACTACTTTCCCCCAACATTTAGCCCAAAGTATCAGATCCTGTCTGGCTCTGTGAGACTAGACCGGGTAGACCACCAAAACTGCTCACATCAGAGAAACAGCACTTAAGGCTTTCATCTTTGAGAGAGGGGAGAAAATTTAAATCCACTCTTGCTTCGGATCTGAAAAAATCTGAAGGTGTTCTGTCCATCCTTTCACTGTGAGAAGACAACTCAACACTATGGGTCTGAAAGGATGCGTAGCTGTCAAGAAGCCCTCACTGAGAAAAAGAAACATACACATTTCAGTCTCCTAAAAAGAAAGAGTGGACACACTAAATACTGAAACATCTGATATTATATTTAGTTGTTTGAGGCTACTGTGTCATTTTCTGTTAAATAAGTGTTTCATGCTATAAAGTAAACAACTTGTACTCATTGCTTGCTTTGACTGGAAATTAAATGGAAATTAAATAAATGAAGAGTGGACTCTTCTTTAAATTATTTCACTGAATATTATTATAATCAATTAATATAATCCTAATCCATCAGAGTCATCGGATTTTTTCTGACACTGTAGGCTATATAAATTTTACTAGCCACAGTCTGTAATACATATATTTACATAGATTTGTGCGGATGTATTTGCTTTGTTTCTAATCTGTGAAATGGGATGGGAACTTATTATCTTTCCCAGAAATAGACAATGTTAATATGATAATATAATCCATTGATCTTTATCTCAGTGAACTGTAGCTGCTGTACTGTGATCAGAGGGCAGTAAAATGATGCACATTGTGCTTTTTGCCCTGCAGGTGGTGTGTACGGTGGTGACTCACCAATAGCATTGTAGAGAGGTTCTCCAGTTTCTTTGTCCCAAACCAGGGTGGTCTCTCTTTGATTGGTCACTCCAATCGCTATGGAAACACAGAAAACCGCATCTCTATTTCATGACACTGCTCCTTCAATGAGGAGCAAAGCTGTAAATAAATACACAAACACACACCCACACAACACACTCCACAGGCAGATTCACTCGAAAGAGGCCCCAAATATTCTGTAATAACTCTCGCTAGGATGAAGCAATTTGAAAGAAACAACATGCAATGTGCTCCTCAGCATGTGGAGCTTCGAACAGACCGTGATGCCCCTGTGTCGGAGTGATGAGGTAGGCGCCAGACAGCCGTTGCCACGTTTTACCCCCGTACCCCTTCATGTGTCTGGCAGAAAACGGAGATCACTTCCAGCATCACATGTAATGCAATCGATTACACATACGTCAAGGTATGTAGCATATTTTTTTGGTTCAGATTGCTTCATCCTAACGGGAGTTACAACAGAATATTCGGGGTCTCTTTCAAGTGAATCTCCCTGTACAACCCCTGTACACACACACACCTTTAATGTTGGAGATGTTAATGTTGAGCTGAATGAGCTTCTTACTGGTCCTCTCCATGCACTCATAAACAGACTGTAAAATCTCCTTTGGGTCTTCTTCCACCCATCTTACAACAAAAAGATCAACAACACAGAAAATTTATATGCATTCAAATAAGATTTGAACCATTATAGCCATTATAGGTGAATTATAGGTGAATTACAGTAAAAATAACCAGTGTATAGTTGCTGATTGAAATCCTAATGTGTGTCACACATGTAATTAATTAAAATCAGTAGATAATTTATTGAGGGATCAGCAGTGGCAAGCCCTCAGAGCCTTCCAGGCCTTCAGAGAAGATCTAAGGACGTCTGTGCACTATAAATACCTCATTTTTTGTTTATTTTCCTTTAATACAATCACCATGTTTGTTGTATTTAAACACTGTAAGTGCTGTAGTAATGCTTATTTCATTGTTCAATTTCATTTGAAAACAGAAGGGTCAAAATCTTTAAACTCCCAATATAATCTTATCCAATCTTAATAGATTTATTTTATTCATATATTTGCAACAATATGGTCTTTTTGACTCCACACTTGTGATCAGAAATGTATGTGATTCACAACGAGACAGAATGTGTTTAAATGTAATTTCGTGTATCGGTTTCATTTGTATTTAATTTTTATATTGGGGAGGATGGTCTTCAGTTCCTCTACTGAACAGCTCCCACTGATGTAAATAAACAAGCTGTGCATCTTATCAGCAGCTATCATTATACAATTGAATTTGCGTCCAACAGATGAAGGCCATATGCTTAAACTTCATTTCAACTACCTGCAGCTTTCATATAAACGGCAACGCATACTGTTTATCAAAACAGAAAGGTTAGTGTCCAGTCAGGAAGTCATGCGCTGCCAGGAAATTCCATTAAAACTGCACATAATCATTACAGCGATGGTGCATTTTCAGAGAAGGACTGCATTAGGTGTGTTGACAAGTTTGCGTATTCTGATCTTCTCATCTGGCCTTTAATGTTCATTTCACCTAAAGGCATTAATGCGAAAGCAATGACACGATGGTGAAATTGTAAATTGATGGTTGTAAAATTATCTATTAAGTCATATGTTATCATATACTCTTTGTCAAACACACCGATCTACCCTGATCATTTCCAGTCTGAGTGGTAGGGACAGACATTTTGATTTTTATGGTCTAGATTGCATTCCTGTTTGAGTTGTAGTCCAGTTACTTATTACAGTTGCTTATTACAGCAATATAGGCTAAAGGGGTAAAATGAACAGAAAACAGAATAATTAAAATAACAAAAACATGTAAAATGCAAATGTAAAATCTAACCTTTAGTATTAGGAAAATCCGTTAGAACACAAAAAGCCAAGAAGACAACAAAACTGCTCAGGCTGGCTTTATACAGAGAAATTTTCATGCAAATTTAGTTGCTCAAGAACATAAGTTGCATTTGAGTTATATGCAATATAAAGCCTCCTGCAACTCATTTGAAATTCATCCGCAACAGTTGAAAGTTTCTCTACTTTTTGAAAGTTTCATAAAACACCAATAACTCATCATGTGATCACAATGAGCAACATACTTTCTGACAATTTTCACCAGATCAATGGACAAGAAAATAAATCGAAAAACGATTTACTGGATATTTAAAAAAGGAGACCCCAGCAAATGACTTTACACAAGATTTGTAGTTTGTCATTCTGTCAGTTTCCTAAACCACAACAACAAATAGATAGTTAGCTCCCTTTCACCATTTTCATCAATGTCAGTGTCACTGCAGTACTGAGAATGATCCACCACCCAAATACTACCTGCTCTGTGCTGGTCCTGTGGGGGTCCTGACCATTGAAGAAATAGGGGAAAAGATGCTAATAAAGTATGCAGAGAAACAGACGGTCTATAATTGTAGAACTACAAAGCAGTTGCTAATAACCCAAGTAGTTAAATAATGAAATGTACTCTCTGAGCCACAACTGGAGTTGTATGAATTCTGTATTAATGTACCAAGTAATAAAAAACATTGTGTTGCTGGGCAACTATAGACTACTGTTAATAAACAACTTTCCTTGGCAGAAGAATCGTGATTATTATTAATAATAAGAAACAAAATAATTTTTGGAACATTGGTGTATTTTATTATATCGTATTGCCATAATTTTCCCAAATCACTGCAGGCTGTGTTACAATGATTTCCCTATTATGGTTAAGGGGCACAATGTGAAGCGAAGGTATTGATTCATATATTGATTCACAACAATCAATAACAAGGCCCAACAATGAGAATTACTCATAAACTCTTTCTCTGAACGTCTCATAGCCCAACCCATTTCTGCCTGTATTCTTGCCAAAGTCTGCATGTGAGCACCTCTGTGTTTCTTAAAACAAATAAAATCTTGCTATCAATAATTTAAAGATTCTGTTGACTGAATGATTGAATTTATCTCATAACATTCACAAATTGTCTAATTATTCTAATTGACACACCTATCACACCTTCTTTAGGTTCAAAAGTCAAGAACGTACAGTGATTTAAGTAAGTTTAAAGAAATAATGTTGCCGACTATGGGCCTGTCAGTGTTCTAGTGGTGCGCTGTACTCACCCTTCTTTGGGAAAACTCTGGGTAATTTCCATCTGATGTTGACTGATCAGATCAGCAGTTTTAGCATTAAAAACCTGAAAACAAAAAAAACAGGAAAAATATTTCTGAGTCTGAGTTCATAACAAGAGTAAAGAATTAAACACTAAAAAATAATAAAGTAACATACAGAGAAATAGCATTACCCACATTATTACCACGATGAACAAAGAGGAACAAAGGGCTACACATGCACAGACACTAAAATACCTGGAAATGATGATCACACAGACTGTAATTGGCAAAAAGCACAAGACACAGAGATACAGAGAGAGTCAGGGCTCACATTTCTAAGGTAGAGACAGAGATAAAGCAAGAACAAGGCTGGAGCAAGACAGATCTGCTCTTTCCTGGCTGTTAGCACAAACTTAAAAGGGAATTTCACAGATTTTTCAAAATTCCAACATAATTCAGTGGTTGAGATGTAAACAGAGTCATTCAGAGTGGCTTGGTGTAAAATTGTTCATTGTAGAGAGATTTCTTTACAGTAGTGGTAATAGGAACCAGAGGTCACCATGTCAACAAATAAAGCCATTTTATGTACTATTCAAAACCATCAGTGAACCTACTGGTCTTCTGAGTTTTTATATGGAATGTTTATGATTGTAACAGTGGAAAACCTAAAATAATAATTAAATACGCTTTCCTGAAAATATTGTGGATATCATCAGTACGGTAAAAGTGAATGTAGTTTCAGAATCATTAATATTATTAGTATTATCATCATTATTTTTAAAGGATTTCTGTATGTGGCACTACGGGTTCTGTTTTGTCTGTTCCAAATTATTAATTATCATTAATATATATATATATATATATATATATATATATATATTTGATGCAAATTGTGTACCATGAAAATATCTTGAAGTCTTCTGACATACGTATAATAAAATAAACAAAATAAATAAATAAACAATATATTGTGATCTCATGTCGCACACCCCTACTGCACACTCAGTTCAACTCAGGAAGGGCTGTTATTCACTTGATTAGTTGGACGAAGATTGGGAACCACTGTTCTGTGCTAATGTTAAAGTGAGATTGTAATAGGGCATTCAAAATCACCGAGTGAGAGTGCTAAAAGCCTTTACCACCTCTGTAATGATGCTACTGTGCTCTGTCAAATTTTGTCATACTGTTCACAGAACATGCTGTAAGCTTCATAATATTAGGCTACAAAATATACATGACAGTAAGTGTAAATCTCATTGATTTAACTATGTTTGACCAAAATGACCCTGCGCCCTGAGTCTTTCTATCTCACAGCACAAAACCAGCCTTATCAGTCACCTGGGAGATACTCGCATGAAGGTCCTGTGCTGATGGATAACCACTGTTTAAGTGTCCTGACAAGAGGAGAATTACAAAGAAAAGTATAGTATTACACAATGAAGGAATTATGAAATGCTGTACATAATGAAATTGCAGGTAAAGCTAAAATGAGTGAATTGGAAAGACAAAGCCCCAAAAAACAGGCCCAAGGTTCAACACCACTATCTCTTAGGATTCAACCCAGTGCTCTACATAGTTAGACCACTACTAGAAACAGCTAGGGGCTGTTCTGAGGCCACATCAGGGACAAAGAAATCTGGTAGCATTACGAAGTGAACAATGAAAAGTACAGTACATTATAGAATTTCAAAGCAACCACATGATAAATGATGCCTTTAAATCTCTAAATAATAATTTCATACTCTGTCACAGACAATGGTACTGTGCAGGTATATTTTTCGTTCATCAAAGCATAAACAATGTAAATGTACTCCCAAAGGTACAACAATGGTTTTATGTTCCCTAACTGGAGGTACTGAAAACATATCCTTGAAGGTTTCACTCCAGTGACAGTTTAGTACCTTTTTTCTGAGAGTGTAGAATAAATCCCTGCAAGCTAGCATTGCTCTGGCTGCAGGTAGATTTATGTCGTATAGTGGTCAAAGTTTAAACCAGTGTTTATGTACTTTGACCCACCGGTTGTGTGTACTAGTTTGCAGATGTCCAAGTTAGGTGATAGACAACCTCAATAAACTATGCTGGTCAAATATTTTTAGAAAAAGGACATGCTGTCAGAGGCATCAAGCAAGAACATATCTACTACAAACACCAGTGGCTATATAATAACCTGGCTATATTTCCTTTAGTACTTGGTACATTTAAAAAAATGGACTTTGCACAGCAAAATAAATCTTGGTGCCAATATCCACTAGTGTTTTCTCATTTACTCAACTTCTGTTAATAATTAGTTCTACTGACTTACATTCTGTTGTCAGCACTAAAAGAAATATTTAGCTGACCTAACAAAAGAATGTTTGTTCTCCTAATGAGTACAACTAATCAAACTAATATCAACGTTACATTTATGGAATTTGGCAGATGCTGTGATGAAAGGCTTTAATTATGTTGCAGATGTAGGCAATTGTAGTGTTAGGCATCTTGCTTGAGGACTCTTTTCGTAGCATGGTGTTCTTGCTCCAGTGGGGAACTGAACCCTGCTCTGCTGTGTTACAGACAGCAGTATCAACCACTGCACTATACCAACCCCTCATAATGGCATATAATATTTTAAAGGATTTTTGCTTTATCAACTTGATTAAAAAATGACACAATGGTGTACGATAGTCGATAACACTGTTGCCAACCACACAGCAGGTTAGGATTTGATTCTCTGCTCACCAAAAAGAGCCGTTGAGCAAGATGCCTAGAACTACTTACGCCTGCCTCTATAACATAACTAAAATTGTACATCACTCTGGATAAAAGCATGTGCCAAAATGTAGTGTCGATATGAAAGAAGAAATGTTGGTATGACTTAAAGAGTTTTTTACTAGTTGTACTTTTTTGTACTTGTTTGTTGTACTAAAAAATTCTGACAATAGAATGTCACTCAGTGCAACAAAATATTTACAGACGTTAACTAAACAAGAAAAAGCTAGTGGATATTGGCACTAAGACACAATAGACAACAGGTTCTTCAACAGACAAAACACTGTCTTCAGTACAGCACTGTCCACATAAATAGCTAACCTTCTTCAAAACATTTTGCACTCTATGCCATCATGGTATCACCAGTGGCTCTTTCAACATCATGTGCCTCTTTCTACAGGCGCTGAGCCCCAGCCCATTTTGCCCTGTACCTATTAGAGACGCAGTGCAGGTACAATACCAGTTGGAATCCTCTGGTAAGTAAACTTACCAATCAGAATCATGAAGCAAATGAAGTCATTCACTTCCGTCAAAAAAAAAAAAAGAAAAACACATAAGGGAGTCAAAACACAGCTTGTTCCATTTCAATGACCATAGTCAGCTGCAGTAGCGTTGTGCAGCATCCAAGTGTGAAATACAGGGGGCCCTGGGACCCCCTTAATTAATCTCTTGGAACCCCTGAATGCCTCAAAATCAAATTCTAGGGGAATCCTGAAAATAAACTTATGACGTTGTGCGCAGGAAAGGGCACTGTTTAGCTGCTTCACCCACCAATCAGCAAGCTTCTGTCTTGAGTATTCTTAACTACAAATGCAGAGCTGTTTTGCCTCAGGGTGGCGCTGTAGCAAACTGATTCACCCAGTTGGTCCTTCATAGTAGAGCAACTGTAACTATAACTAGGATACCTCTGAAAAACTTTACAATATGCCACAGCATATTTGTAAATTTGAAAACTTGCCTAATTCCCCAAGAGGTTGGTGTGATGAGTGAATTTTTACTCATTTCTCAAACAAAAGAGGGATGTGAAAGATCTCAGTTAATATCTCAAAGAGCCAAGTAGTACCAAACTAGAAAACCGCATTTTCAGAAGAAGAATTGTTAAAACAAATACTTTGCTGCCATTGAAGCATCAGTGCCACTGCAATGGCGAGTGGGTTACCAGCCAGCCAACACTGGAGTAGCCCACCAGCATGGGACCCCCAAATACTAGGGGGCATTTCACAAACTGGACGGAATCACCTTATGTGGCCTTGAAATATTTGTTAGGAAATTATTTTACCAGCTCCCATTTCAACAAATTTGGAAACAACTCCCTAACAAAGACTTCACAACAACATATCGCTGCTGTCAGAACAAGACCTCGTATATCCATTTTTGTCATTTTTCGGGTTTTTGACATAATTTGAAAGTACCCCTTGTCCTATACATCGTTTGTAAATTCATGATGAATGAAATGGCCCAAAATTACTTGAAAAAAGTCTGGTTCCATTGACTTACATTAAAAGTAGAGTATGTTTTTTCCTTCTCCTGTAAAGTTCTCATTTTGAAGACAGAAGGTTTTGTTCCGACAACAGTGATTTACAGCAAATAACAGGACAGTGCAAACCTAGAGCAAGAATAATGTACAAACCATGTTCACGACTACAGCCCAATGGCCTGGACCACGTGCCCTCCAATCTGGGCCCAGTAACTGGGAGAAAGAGTGTTTGGTATAATGCTATTGCATTTTATCACTGCATTGTTCCTGGGATCTCGAACAAAGTTTGTACATCAACTGTGCACTGCTCTTGCTTCAAGTCAAGTCATGTTAGGTCAACGTTTATTTATGTAGTGATTTTTACAATAGACATTGTCACAAAGCAGCTTTACAGGAAAATACAGGTCCAAGCCCCCATGAGCAAGCCAATGGCGACAGTGGCAAGGAAAAACTCCCGAAGAGCAAGAGGAAGAAACCTTGAGAGGAACCAAGACTCAAAAGGGGAACCCATCCTCCTCTGGTTGACACCAGATAGCAAATAAATAACACATGAGCAATATGAGCAGAAAGTAAGGTTTTAAGATACGGAGATAGGGATAAGCAGGAGAAGCAATGGCTACGATTAAATAGTTAGAGTCTGTGCCTGCAGCAATATCATTAGGAGGCCGGCATGCAGGTGAGGTTTGCACAGCGTTGTTCAGTAGGAAGCTTGATGATGGTCAAACTGGTCCAGAAGTCTGGCAAGCAGTGGGCAACCAATCAAGGAGGAGGAAACATCAGCATCAGACCGCACAGGATGGATGATCGGTTGTTCAGCTTAGCAAAGAAACACATAGCCAGTTAGTTCTGTTAAGAGAGACTGATTACAGTATACAGTGTTAACAGAGTGCAGCAGAGACTCTGGCAGGTCTAGCTATTACAGCCTAACTAAAAGGGAGAGCCAACAGACACAAGGGCTCCCTGAGATGTCAGCGCCCCTCTGCTCCACCATCAACAACTTTGTGTAAGAACATGACAGCAATGGGACGACAGCACCAACACTCCTAGTTTACCATAATACTCTATGTCCATGAACCCCCACTCCTACAGGAGTGGCCAAAGTTACTTCCTAATTTAAAAGAAAAATCTTTGAGGTCAACAGACAAATACATCCATCATCACCCGGTAACCAGGGATGCAGGAACGTGTTTTAGGTAGGGGTGCTGAAACTTTAAGCAGCATATACATGATATGAATATTGACATCAAGCTAAATTATTTGTCTTTTTTAATTTTTTTCTCACAGAATGTGTTATACTGCACTATAATGAGACAACAATCTCTCTCTATCTCTCTCTCTACATATATATATATATATATATATATATATATATATATATACTGACACATCAGTCTGCTGTCTCATTGTAGGTGAACTTTATGCAAATTAACTTAATTGCAACTAATCACATTGTTAATACGTGGCGCAATAACCCCCACCTTATGTCCATTAATAACCCATCACGCCCACGGTCACACGGTGAGATTTAACTCTAGAATTCACACTGAGCAAGAGACATAATGGTTGATAAAACATTATTATTATGTTAGATGATTTTTAAAAGTTTAAAAACAGTATTAGGCTGCTTTGAGGTTCAGAACTGCTCTTCATCTCAGCATAAACTTTCTCTTTTTGAACCTCAACTTGAATGTGTTTTAGCAATGACCCTAAGGGGCCAGCTGTTGTCAAGGGGAGTGATTTAGCTCACTGTAATACAAATACATCGTTAACTCTTACTTATATTAACTCTTTGAAGAGAAGCTTAAATGCTGAAACTACTAAAACTAAGCTTTTAAAAAACTCAGAAAAAACGCTCGCAAAATGCTGTTGTCGTGTGTAAGTTAGCTGCTGTATCAGTAATTGCTAAACATTTTAATACTACAGTTATTTATTTATCTGTGAATATTAAGGTTGCAGTGATTAACAAAATTCATAACTTAATTTCAATAGGATGCAGTGGTATCCTGATTCAACACATTTCAATTTGGCAAAAATAAGGTGCTAAAATCGTGCCTTATGTTACTATGTTTCCATTTTTAGAGTATTTCAAGTTCAATTTTATAAAAGTACAATATTCTAAAAAAAAGTCTGTGCTGTATAGTATCCTGATTTAACACACTAGCCACAAGCTAATACGCTAGTCACAATAAACCGATAACACTCCCAGATTCAGTTCAATAGATGAACTGAACCCGGGATTGTTATTGTTACATCTCCAGTAAATATTATTCAAGTTTTTATTCATTTATATTTGTTTGTTTATTTGTATATTCACACATTTTTGTGCATATGTGGGTGCATACACTTGACATAAACAAGCCATATATGACTCACAAGCCATACATCCCCCATACCTAAACTGAACGAAGCTGTTTTCAAGTGTAAATGATTTATTCACATTTAATAAAAAAAAGGCAACATAACTTTGAGTGTCCTTAAAGGATCTGAAAAGCCAAACATATTCTGTCCTGAACTGAGAGGTACGAGGACATATGTGGATTTTTGATCAAACAAACTCTTCTTGTAGTTACAACACACAATTCTAATGAATCATAACCTCATTTGATTGACTCTTGGTGCATGTTCCTGATAAAGTTCCTGATAAAGTACATGATAAAAATCTTATCAATAGAATGTCTGAAACAGCAGCTAGACTTTCAGTCACTGAATAATCCAATCAGGATGTTTTTCCAATGACTGAGAATCTTGTCTTCAACGTTTACCTCCTCAAAAGTCAGTTCTGCAATAGGTTAATGTAATTAAGATTAATGTATTTTCTATAGTTGAATGTAATTAAGTATTTAATCACACAGCGAGTTGCACAATGAATTACATTCTGAATAATCAGGTTCAAGTCTGCACTCACACCTTTTTCTGTTTGTTTCAGTGTCAAGAAATGACAAAAACATGGTAATGTAATGCTTTTTCTTTCCACAAAACAAGACCGTATGCTCAACAATACCTTCTTTCTTCTATAAATAAATGTGGATAGAAAGGTTAGAATCTGCAATGATTACAGAATGTTTCTGCTTGTTTAATGAGTGAGAAATAAATGTTGAATGACACCATGCTTTTGTTTCCACCAATGACAACTGAAACAGTAAATGGTATAAAGAGTGGCTGGTAAAGGCTGAACTCTTATAATTTGTTTATTAATGTATTAAAGACTCTAAAAACTACTATGGATTATTCCGTATTCTACCATCAAACTAAGGTGTAAGTTATGTCACTGAAGGGTTTAAGGTTTATGGCAGAGATGGTCATGTGAGTCTGAGTCAAGTAACCAGTTTCTGGAGTCCAAGTCTGAGTCTTGAGTCCAACGCGTAGCCCAAACTTTTACAGTGAGGATGTCAGGTTAGACCCCACAACTTTATTGGGGTGGCAAAGGTGGCAAAAGTGGTTCTTTTGTGTGTGTATTACAGACATATTATTACAATGACGCACTGAATTTAATGAAACTGCACACAGTGGTAATTTCAATAAGTAGAATCAATAAGTATCTACAGAACAGAGCATTTCACACTAAAACACTCTGAACAACCTTTTTGAAAATGGTTCTATACAGCACCAAATACGGTTCTGCTATTGATACAAGCTTGACGTTATTACAATAGCAGAAGTCTTTTTGGTGCTATATAGAACCATATACAACACACTCTCCGTCAATCTGAAGAGCCATTTCACTATGCACTCATGGTTCTACATAGAACCACTGCTTTTAAGACCCCTTGAACCATCTTTTTCAAGCATGTTCAGTCTACATTCTGCTCTTTAATTTCAGTGAATTTGAATATGAACTTTCATAATGTCTTTTTTAAACTGTATAACAAAAATTAGCAGAGGAGAGAAGAGCCTTTCCAATCTAGCAAAATAAAAGCATTTTATGAGATGACAATTCTGTCAAGCAGGGTTTGGCATGAAGGCAAAAGAGCTTAAGGACATGTCCGAGTGGTCATTAGTGTACAAAGTCCGTGGAAAACAGTGTGAGGAAGGAAAAAACTTCATTAACCAACAGCTCACCGCACATTAACACTTGTTGAAAAACTCTAAAGCAGCTGAAAACTGCTCCAGTCTCACCAGAAATCTGGTAGAACTCGTCCCCTGGTCAATGGCCCCGACCAGCGAGTCTGCCTCAGGCCTGCTAGACGTTGACATCGTGTCGTTAAAATGTTCAGGTCAGTTTGTTCAGTTGAGGACCGGTCGGCTGCGCTCTGTACAATACGCGATACTGAAGCGCGTGCGGAAAGAACACCGCCACTCTCACGGACACGCGCCCCTGACGTAGGCGGGAGCCAACCCCTCCTTCCCGCCCACCACCTGCATTCAGAAACACACAAACCTGTTTCCAGTCACAAAGCAAACATAACGCTCGCCACCGGGAGACTGGGGACCTGCTCCAAACCTAGAGGTGCTTCGAGTTTAAAGTCCTTGTTTGTGTCTGCCTCCAGTTTAGAGGCAAATAATTCAACTAAGTGACCGTTTTTCTGATTGAAAAGAGCAGATAAAAGCATTTTAGCTAGCCTACTAATTTAAAACGATTTAGTAATCTCGGTTGCCACATTGTTTCTATAGTTTACAGACAAAAAAAATCTTCACATTGCAAGAAAACCCCCTAAAAAAACACATCAAAAACAATCTAACCATAATACAGCATTTAACCAACGTGACAACAATAATAAGCCTCTGGGTTTGTTTTCTGCCTTCAAAAATTGCAGTAGATGGTGCCCTCTGTCTTTTAAACAAAATAGTTTATTTTATAGCTATTGCCACTTCAATAAAATACTGAATACACTGAGTGCATTTATATGCACTTAATAATATATATTTATTATTATTATTATTATTATTATTATTATTATTGTTGTTGTTGTTGTTGTTGTTGTTGTTAATATTAATAATAATAATGATAATAATTTGCAACCGGCTAGTAAACTCACAGAACAAGACGTGACTTAAATGTAATGTAAAACATCATGCCAGTGCTTTATTTTTAAACATTGAGCCATTTTGCCTAAAAATAGGAACATATATTATCTACAAGATTTAAATCCTTCACCTTGTCAAGTAGTCTCAGCATCGCTTCAAAAGTGTTTTGCTGCCTTCCCGTGGCAATGCTGCCTGCTTGTTTCTAGTACCACAGTCTGTTTTCGTACATGCGCAGACTGAGAAATCCGAAAGTAATCTGAGTAAAAGTATATGTGTGAGAAATCTGATTACTAAACTAAATTCGAGCTCACTTTATCGGATTTCTTAATTGGATTTCTAGACCTTACTCCAATCTAAAAAAAATTGGATTATGCTGTTTACATGACCAATTGAATAAATAGATAACTGCAGAAATCCGATTATGATCAGATGATTGAGTGCATGTAAACGCATTCACTGTCAAATATACAAGTATCATATTCCATTATAATACATAAATAAGTAGCATATTCATAATGCATTTAGTCTACATCTTGGCAAGACACATGGGAAAAACGTCTTTTACTTAATTCACACTGTTACTTGTTGTTACTGGTTGGCAGTTTTGTTCATGTAATTATTCTGATAATGTAATAATTTATATTAATCATGAAAAACTCGCAAATCATTTAAATAAGGCTCAAAAATCTCAACTTTTTCCCTGCTTGATAACTTGATGTCATGAGGCAGTTATTAATCTGTACTGAGGCGACCATTACAGTTATTAATCTCTACTGAGGCGACCATGACCATTAATTGAGGTCCTCTTTAGAATTCATGTAACAAGCATGTTTGTTACATGATGTGCACTGATTCTAAAACAGTTAATAAACATATTTCAGTTAAAACATTGATGGTGTTTCTTTTGAAGATTATCATTTTTTATTTAGTGGGTAAGTATTCTAAAAGTGCTCTCCTAAAAATGTAAACAAGTAACTGTATTCTGAATACTGCTTTGCAAAATGTAACTGAATACAGACACTTAATTTCTGTATTCTGAATATGTATTGCCAATATTTGTATTTCGTTATATCCCAACCCTGTTAAAGCACTGTCAGCCAACATAATCAAGTCAATGATTTAGAGTTAAATCTGTCGTAAAGATATCTACTTGCCTCTTACAGTGGTCTCCTTCTGGTTTAATGACTAGGAAAACTAGGAAAACCACACCTGAGAATGTTAATTAAAGGTGGAAGTACAAAAGGTAGTGTGCATTGTGGTGGACACTTGCTAGCTGGCTAATTATTCAATTGAATTATTTCTTTAGCAAAAAAAAATTGAGAGTAGTGCTATCTCTAATGCTAGCATGTATTTGCCTCTATGGCTAGCAGTCAGGATTTGTTTCAGTTCCCAAGTATTTGCGCAATGCAGGGTGCTGTGATGAAAGCACTCATGGACAAACACAAAAATGATACAACATTATAAATTCTGTCTAAATGATAAGGCTGAGCAGAGGAACACTGCACTATAGAGTATTACATGACATGATAAACATAGTATCCAATGCTAGTTTTAGGCATGAAGGCCTCCTTAATTAAATACATCATTCAGGAATTTGCAGGCTGAGTAGTACAATGACAAAAGCCTTCATGTGCACAAGCCCTAACATGATGATGAAAAGACTGAGTAACTGGAAAAAAGAAGAAAAATATCTTCATTTACTCTTTTTTGGCTGTTGTCTGTAGGCTGAACTTTAATGTCACCTTTCACCTTCAACTTGCGTGAGATAATACACAATTGCAATGATTCTGCTTTATATGGCTGGACTTAAGATGACCCAAATAACCTCAGACGTCATGTGGTCACACTCTGCCTTGCAGGCTTTATGGGTCAGTGACCTCAAGCAGATCCTAGTCTATGCATAGATAGATAAAGAATAATGTTTTTTCAATGCCTCCAAAGAGGCATTGCAAATCAGTCCTCATGTTGTGATATGAAAATATATAATATGTAAAATATATGATCCATTAGTCAAGGAAAAAAATGTGATGGCTGTTTATGTAATAAAGAATAAAAAGGGAAAAAAATAAGAAGCTACTCTGTATTTGCTTTTCTTTCTTTATTGTGGACTGAATGGCTGTGAGATGCATGTAAGCGAGAGTTGCATCAGTGTCAGTATAAGGTCACTGTGACTCATGTGATTGGTCAGCAGTTCTTGTAAAGCACACACCTTCTCACCAGTAAGGTGCCTGAAGCCTCTCTGTAGAAGGCAAAAAAAGCTGTACAGTTGGAACTGGACAGGGGTGAGCGGTTCCAGTACTGAATGGCCAGTGCACAACGTAGCTGCATGTTTTCTGACACAACTGATTCAATCCAACAAGTGCTCAGTTTTTTAGCTGGTGATGTGAATAAGTTAGAGCATGTAAAGAAGACTTTGCAAATACTTTTCAAAAATGCTGAATGGTTTGTTTTTTGAATGCAAAATCACAAATCAACATCAAGACAATAACAATTATTGCACAACCAAAACTGCCAACATTTAATCAAAAAATAAATGTATACTCACATGAACTGCATGGTATAGAAAGTCAGTTTTATGTGGCTGCGAGTGGACCTATTGTTTCTATTTTTAAATATTAACCTACTGAGAGCCAGTAGATATGGTCAGCCAGCAGATCTGCGATCTTTGAAAGTGTGCCAAGAATTTTTTTTGTGTTTTATTTTCTTGTTTTAATATGGATATATTGGCCTTCTTCTGCTCCTTCTTCTGCAACTGATGAATTAGCTGATCTTTTTCCTCAATATACGGCTTTGGAAATGCTGATCCTTGGTGATTTTATTCAGAATTAGTTAACTAATGCATTCAGTGTCAGATTATCATTGTTTGATCACTAGCTCTTCTTCCAATACTGTCTATTTTTGGAAAGCAGTAAACTCCCTCAAAAACAACTCCTTCTCTATCTGACCTGTATCATACTAGCTGACCATGCAACATCTGACCAAAGAGAGCTTTTTCAAACTTTTATTGTAAATTTTTCTCTGGGTGCTCATATTTGACAGCACTAACTTGAGACTGCAGCTGAACAAATTAGTGAACACCCAGCTCACACTGTTCTTTATAAAAATTCTATCCTGTTTCTCCATCACTATGGCCATAGTCAGAAAGAACTAAAAGAAGTGCTGCCCTTTTTATTGATCTAACCAAAACATTTCATGCTGTTGATCACTTGCTTGTTTTAGGTAGCTGACACAATTGGTTTTGATAAAAATGCAATAAATTGGGCCCAACACTACCTCTCTGATAGGCAACAATGCTATCAGATTTGATGTCTGTCACTGAAGTTTAATCCTTGGTCCAGTCTAACTTAAATTATATATTAATGATCTTGCTGCCCCCACCTCTGACTGCAAAGTGCACTTGTATACAGACAGCACTATTCTGCTCTGTTCAACTGACTTTGTTCATGCAGCAATAGAAAACTTTAGTGCGCCTTCAATGCCTTACATATTGCTCTTTACAAGCCTAAGCTAGTTTTAAATGCAAAAAAAGCCCCAAATATTGATTTTAGCACTGTAAATATCAACACCTTGACAGGATCCAGTATTGAGAGAGTCACAGAATATAAGTACCTTGACATATGACTGGATGATAAATTTATATTTGAACGTCACATTAATAAGCTAGTTTAAGTAAATGCAGGCAAAAGCTTGGATACTTGTACCGAAATAAGATGTTTCCCAATGCATACTAGGAAAAAGATTGTGAAGACAACCTTATTATCCTGCACCATGATGCTGTAATCTATAGACATGTATATACCAGTGGCCTTAAACGACTAGATTTGTTCTATCACTTTGCCCTAAGATTTATTACTGGAATTCCACTCATCACTGCACACTGTATGAAAATGAACTTTATACACTGAATAAAGTTAGTTGGTCCTCTTGAGCCATGCAGTGGGAAACTCATTGGTTTCTTTTCATTTATAGGGCACTCTCTGTCTAGTGGCTGGATTACCTGTGAAGGTCCTAGAGTTTTACTGAATTGGGAAGATCTGCTTTTAGCTACAGTGAACCAGCGAACTGGAATACACTACTTGAAGCTCTAAGGTTACACACACTGGTGTCACATGACCATTTTATATTTGATTTCTAGTTTCTATACATGTGCACGGTTTTATTTAATGTTAATTATTTTACTACACTTTTATTTTACTTTTATTTCACTATTTTATGGAATAATTTTGTTTCTAAGATTTTTGTCTATTTGAGATTTATGTATTTCTTATTTGAGCTTTCATTTATTTTCATTTCTTTTTTATTTCTCCTTGCTCATTTTGTCTTTGTGA